TGGGTGCAGGATGTGGAGGCGAATCGGATGATGGAAGGCTGCGAGCGGCGGCACTAAATGAGAAATGAGATTTGACCCGAACGAGGATGAACGGATGCTGGCCGCAAAACTAGCCAAAACTCCGTTTCGTTACAATCCGTGCGGTTGACCTTTGATTAGCAACAATAAAAGTGCTGATTGCCGGCCTGATTGAACCACCTACCATCGGCGTCCTGTGGGTCGAATTATGGAGATTTGATGAACACATTTTAGATTGAAAACGGACACCCGCAACAATATTTTGTGCAATCAAGGGTCCAAACCGGGGGGCATGGACCACATCCAATACGAATTCCAATCTGGCCGGCAAACAGTGAGCATAACCTGTGGGACCAGCAAAAGCGGCAGCTTGTTGTGCAATTTTGATGGCCCATAAAGCTGACTTTGTTCGGTTTAGTGGCCGTTGCTAGGCGAGTTACTCTCTACTCTGTACAGTTTTCTGGGTTTTATGTTTGATTTAACGGCAGTTCGAAGCTGTCGTTTCGTGTTTGCTTTCCATTTGCCCCGGTTGCCTGGCAGTGGGACAGTTCATGTTCATCGAATACGTAGCGTAGGAGAATCTCCATTCCCATTCCAAAAACTCCATTTGAATCCCAGTCCGCTCGCCCTGAAGTATGCAGCACATTTTTCAAAGCAAACATTTTCCTTCGCACTGGGAAAATAAAGATTTATGTAAAATTTGACGCGTAAAGTTCAACAAAAGCAACCAGTATTCCCCGCAGTTCTTCCAGAAGATTTCGTATATTTATTTACCTTTTCTTTTTTTTTTTTGGTGCTGCTGCCATGTGCTTTGTGTTCCCGAAAATATGCAAATTCATGCAGGATTTTTACAGCACTGCGTGGACCGCACATAAATTCCCACTCATGTAGGGCAAATTTCTTGGAACCAAGGTTCTGGTCAAAGGCGAAATCTGATGGCTTCCATCGAATCTGAAGGCGACTGCCATAGATTGCCTGACATTTGTCAAGAGTCAAGGGCAGAAAAGTGAAAGGATTTCACATTTATACGAATGCATGAGTTTTCTCTCTACTTTTGTGGAAATCACACTCAACAGTTGTCTGGCTAAAAATGGGACTTATACCCGGTTATGCATGAAGGGATAAAAGTCGAATGATGAAGTGTATTATCCATGTCTGATCAAAGCACTGCCAAAAATATATATACTTCCAAAGGTATTTTTGTAATAATTTTCAAAATGTTTGACACATTATTTGACTAGGATATTATAATTTAGTGTATAGCAATTTATATATTTTTTGGTTTAATGCTCAGTTTTTTTTATAATGTTACGACATTGATTTTATATTTGAGGGTGTTTAAAAATTGGATTTTCTCTGCAGTAGATAAACTTTATTTCTCTTTGAGTTGGTTAAAGTGTTTCGCATGAATTATTCGCATGCTGCCAATTTATGGAGCCATGTCCGAATTGAAAATGATTTACAGCCCTGCCAGCTCTGCAGATTCAGTGTGTATTTAACGACAGTCACAGAGATCGGCCCTCAAGGTCCAGGGCCTAATTAGAGGGTGGGTGGGGTAGGTGGAAATCTCTTATGGGCAGTTGGCTGGGAAAACGGCGCTTAGCCGCCGCAGACGTTCATAAATAAAGGAGCAACTCAGTAACACGCTTCGTCTGCGCGAGTTCTGCTCTTTTGATTCTATTTCCCGGATACGGATACACGGGGTTTTTCGGTAATTTTCAGCTTATGCTGGCCTTCGTTTTCCATTTCATGGCCAACTGCGTTGCGGCATGCAAAACTCCGCCAGCGACTGCATAACGAGTACAAATACCAATGTCGATGAGAATGGGGAATGGAAATGGATATGCGAATGTGAATGCGAATGGAAATAGAGATGGAGACGGAGGCGGAATAATGGAGGAAGGGCAAGTGGAAGGGAGTTGGCCACCAATAATACTCGGAAAATGCTTTTTCGGTTTGATTTCGCTTTCCTCTCGTTGGCCATTCATGAGTTTTCATTTCATTTTCGCTTATTGCTTACATTTTGCGTTCCGTTGCCGGGTTTCCCATTTCTAATTTTGTATTTTCCATCCGGGGATGAGCATTGGGTTGGGGATGGGGATGTGTGAGGATTTCTCTTTCACAACAAAATAGTTTTGGTTTGGTTTTCCCGCCTGCACTTGGCCCCAATGGAGATAAAGGGAAAAGAGATTTTCCGAGGTGCCAGAGTGTGAGGGCGGGATCTTTGCATGTAAAATAAAAGCTTTGCTGAAATTGAAAAACTTTTCCAATATGTGCTTTTTCTTGCTTTCGTTACCCATTTTATTATTGCATTATATTCGTATGGGGATGCAGCTTTGTGGATATATTTTTATTGTTTCATTTCAGTGGCTCCTTGCGGGCGTTGAGGGCGTGGAGGGCGTGGCATTTATGATATGCAGCTGCAATCCTAATCCCTTTTCAAATTGAAACTCAGCACTTTGGCCAATCCTGCCAAGTCAGGTGAGACATGTGCAAATTGAAAATAAAGTTCCAAGTGTCACCCAAATCACAGAGCTAAATGTGAAACTCAAATGGCATTTTCCGGAGAAATCTCTTTAGTCTGCCGGAAATCCGATAATAGCACATTTTTAATAGCCACTTTTTGCCAGCCAAAGTTTTTCGCTAATTATCCCAAAAGGCAAGAGTATAATTCCTTCCTTTTTTGTTGGCAACAATCAAAAATGACACTTGGCAGCGGAAAAGTGCCCACATTGGGGATAAACAAAAGAAGGAAAAAAGAGGTCGCATAAAGGGTACGAAAATTAAGGGAAATAAAATTAATGCGTGGAAATTCATAAGCCCCGGACGTTTTTCTTTTTTTCTGGCCCAAGCGAGTTGGCAATTTGAGGCACATTAAGCGACTTAATTACATGCGGCCATTTAATTTTATTTTTCTTGGCCATGGAAATGGCCCTGGAAATGGCTTTTGCACGCATTTAACTCGCAGATTGCACTTCCGCTGCAGTGACAGCTGCATCAAATTGACGTTTGTATAAAATGCCATAAATCAGGGCGGACAAGCGCGAAGTCCTCCGAGTCCTGCGGGTCAAGTCCCGAGCCATATACACATACAGATACAGATTCCGGTCCAGATTCAGATTCAGGACATCTTCTTGGCCTGACAGCTGCGAAAAAGGACACTCGCTGCCCTGCTCTCCGGCCTTGCGTCATATTTAAATGTATGGCTGCGTATAAATAAAAAGTTGTCCTGCCGAGGACTCTGTCAGTTAATTTCACGCTGCCAGGATCCGAGAGTAGGCCGGGATGATGAAGTGCGTCTGCCCACTAGGCGACATTATATAAAGGCACAGAGAAAAAATTAAAGAAGTTTATGCTTAAATTTAATTTAATACAAATTCTTTAAAATTTTTTAGACTTATATTTTTTACGGAAAATAACAAAAATTACATTTAGTCGTAGGTTTTATTTTAATTTATTTATTTTATTTTCAAATTAGTTTGATTGTTAAGAATTTTCTTTCCGATTTTTAACGTTTAAAAGTGAAAATCACAGTAGTCTTTTCAAAATGAAAGTTACAAATATAAGTTTTTTACTATCCCTAATATTTTAGCTTTATTTCGTTAGGCTTGAAATTCGTTTTAATTTCTTAAAAATTTAGCACGATTTATGTACATTTATAATCTCCATTATTTTTTTTTTTTTTTTTTGGGGTTTAAGTTACCGCGTCACCCGTAAGTGATGCGGAGTTATTTGGCCGCCCTGGTGTTCCAGGAAAACGCCAAGGAAAAATTTGTTTGTATGTGTTTCAAATTCACTTAACCTAAAAGTGAATCCACACCACGAGGTCCCTTGCCCTACCCGGCGCGAATTGTGCGTGTTCCTTCAAGGGCCTGTGAATGTGGACTGGTCTCCATTATTTTCTTAGTAAATTCACAAAATAACGCTCCGTGTGTTCTACACCCATATAAATAAAGCATATTGCGACATAGGACATAAACATAACTGCAAGTTCAACCCTTTGGCATATGTGTACATTTTACGACTGTCATAGGGGCGGCCCCACAAACAATTGACAGCCATATTTGCCTATCTTAATTCCTTGTCACAAACGGAATTGGCACTTTGGGTATGAGTATGAGTATGTGCCGGAGTGTTACTATGGGGACAGCTAACTGGCTGATAAAGGGAACAATTAAAATCGGAAATAAAGCCACCGCATGCGGCGAAAATCGCCACTTTGATTCAGGTTATCGCCAAAGAACTTTTTCGGCAGGAAGAGGAAGCCAAATGGACTGTTATCTGGGGGAAACTTTCTGCTGTGCTGTGCAGGCGACCAAAAGTGGGTGGCGAGAGACACCTGGACGACCTTGAGCAGGTGCAAGGTTCCCAAAATGCTGCGCAGCACACACACACATACAACATTCTCACGCCCGAAATTGCAACCTAAATTGGCCAAAAATCCTTGAACTCAATACATTAGCCATTTCAGCTCATTAGCCCATTGTTGCTTTGCTCTTTTGATATCCGGCTTTAATTGTAAGTTGGCGTTGTTGCATTTAAGGCATTAGCCGAAGGGGCCAACTATTTCCCCTTCGTTTTCCTGAAATTTCAAATTCAATCTCTCTTCAATTCAGCGGAGTAAGGTTTTAAAATTCGCAACGCATGCGCTCTCTTAAGTTTTGCTCTTAACCGATTTGTACTTAAAGACAAGTTCTCTTTAAATCAGGTTTTACATCAGTAAGGTTTTTTTCACACTCAGTTTAACTAGAATTCAAACAGCTTTTGACATGTATTAATTTTTGAACCGTTAAGAATTCTCTTTACCTAGAATCCTTAAAAAGTATTATAATACTATGGTACATGTGTATTACAATAAAATATATAGACTGATTCATATCATTATTATAGAAATATAATAGGATATGATATCACCTCGAAATCAAACACACCTTTTAATTACAAATCAATATTCTTGTTTTATTGAACACAATACTACAACTAGCTGATCGATGTTGAATGCCGATTGGTTGGTTTAACAGGATGACAGTTTTGGGTGGGTGGCAAACATTTGATACAAATATTCGTCTGAGGCATGAACCGTCCGCCGCCTTCCAAGGAAGTGAAACTACTATAACTCATATGGCAATTGTTGGGGTATTTAAATAAGATTCGCTAGGGCTCCAAGGCGATGGACAGGAGGGGTTAGATGATGATGATGGATCCTGGTTGGTGGTTGGCTAATGGCACTACACAGTAGCTATTAATGGCCTAATACATTGAGCGGCATTTTGGACTGGCAAATGGATGGGCGAGGGTTCCTAACCGCGCCAGGTGAGTAGGCTCCATCCACGACTTGGCTTCTTTGTGCTCGAGGGTTCCGGCTGCTGCTGTTCTTTTTGCTGCTGCTGATCCTGGTCCACCTGCTGATCCTGCCGCTGCTGATTCTGCTCTATATAGGTGCGTAGTATGGTATGCTTGTGTACGGACTTCTCGAACTCGGCCGTACTTGGCCGATACGCCTCGAACTTGTGCTGATAGCGGCCGGCTGCCGACTGCGATGGCTCCGTTGTGTAGGCGTGGCTGCCGCCCCTCGAGGCGCTGCCGAACGAACTGCCGCCGGACGGCGATGGTGGTGATTGTACCGCTGCCTGTGGGTTGAACGGGGAGGGATTGTAGGAGGGTTGGACTGGGGTCTTGGGCCTGGTTGGGTTGTTATAGCTGAACTGGCTCTTGTTAATGTTGTTAGTCGGCGGATTGTTATTGGCGGTTTGACTGGGGCTGCTCTTGTAGCCGTACTCATACGATTCAATTGTGTTCGCTCCGTAAACACTGTTGGCTGCCGGCGCAGATCCTGGAGCGGCGCAGAGTCCTTGGTAGCGGGACGAGGGCTTCATGCCGTACGTCGAGCAGGAGGGCTTGCCCACCTCATAGGGATTGTAGCCGACCACGTTGCCACTGCAAAGGGAAAATAGGAACAGATCGTTAGAATTGTATTACATGAGACTTAAATTAATTCATAATTCTTGTGAGAAAATAGAAAAAGCCGACTCAAAAGCTAAAAATATATACAAAAGTCTATAGACCTTTTTAACAACAATCAAAAACAGATGTTTTAAGAGCTTTAGAAAATTTGTTTGTGGTTTTATTGTTAAAATTCTATAAACGGAAACGAATTTTATGATATCTAGATTGAATAAATTTATTTCATTGTGGGAAGTTTGCATTTGTATCATAACAAAACGGGGTTTTGAGACCATTTATAAATTTTTAATATTATTTAATAAATGCAAATTTAATGGTGTTTGCTATCCAATATCTATACAACTTACCCAGGTCCATAGTTGCAGACGTACAGCTTGTTGTATTTGCTGGCATCCTTGTACTCCGCGTATCCGCAGCCCACCAAGCTGGTCTCGCCCCAAACAAGTTGGGAATAGTGTCCAGTCTTGGGCGACCAGGCATCCCCGAAGGAGTACTTCTGCACCTCGTTGAACCAACTTTGGATGCGCGAGGGGAAGTCACCGTCATCGGCGTCCAGAGGCGCCGTACTCCAGATGATGGCCAGATTCTGGCCCATCGTGAAGCGATCTGTTAATGGGTGGAGTGAATATATTAGCATTGCTTTTCTATTATATTTTTAAACAGAATTTTTGGGGAATGCAGGTGCTGAGCATGCAAGGTTAGTCTTAGTGTTTTAGAAGCTCTTCGTGCAGGCAGAAAATGGGAAATATGATGGATCTTAAAAACTAGACGCATTGAGATGGCCATTAAAACATTTTAAAATATTTTGGTTGATTTCTTTATGAGCAAGATTTATTTCCAAATCCTAGTGATTAGTCACTAATTAAATCCAAATGAATCACTATATAAGGAAAAACCTCCCAAAAGGTATTCCCAAGTGATTAATTGAAGAAATTCGTTTAAATGGCAGTGAAAGGTGCCGTAAAAGTTGACGAATATAAATTAGACTTTCGGGCTTATACATTCGCTATAAATAACGATGTATTAATGTATATTGACAATCCCAATGAGCGTTACCGTATCAAAAATATCTCAAACCGAAAGATAAGCGCCACATGCTTTGCGCTTATCGGTTCCAACTCCTGGATTTTAGGATAGGAATGGATGGAATAGGAAGTACTGAGGATCTATAGAATCGGATGACTTACTTATCGTGCGGTGTGGATCGTGACGGAACTGACAGTTGTCGGCCCACTTTTGGGCCCGGGCAGCCAGCTCGTCATCCCAGACGATCTCTCGCATATTCTCGGCACCCGGCTGACCCGGATAGCGTCCGGTGGCCACCAGCTGCCGGAGGCGATTGTGCTCCTGCAAGATGATTGATCTCTCTTCCGTCGTGATGCCCGATGCTGAAATGATTAGGTCGAGATTTGCATAAATTAAAAGAGAGTCGCAGAAAAGAAGTATTATGAGAATTATGAGGGGAACATGCATGAAAGACACGCAGCTGGAGAATGTTATCATTTCTATTTTTGTTTGCATTAAAATGCTTGATTTTTCGGTGTTTCTCCCTTGACATGGAGATGAAGCTCCAACAACTCTCGACGGCCAGTGGCCACCCAAGAGAGCCGGTTTCTATCGAGCTAATATTTGTCGAAATCTCCGACGCTTCGGCTCTGCCTCGCAGAAATCCCAAGTGGGGTCGGCCAATTTATATTAGCCTTTGTTTTACATATATTTTAATTATTTGCCCACGCCGACATAATATTCGACACTTACGTGTGCTCCAAATTGCCGGCGATTAGGGTTTTATGTAACCAGCCGGTTTGGATCACAAGACATCTGTGTCACTTTCCTTAAAGCGTTTTCGGCTCCCCCCAATCTGAGTCCCAATCCCAATCCAACCGGTTCTGCGATAAAGTTTGCCCATTATAATAGAACACAGAACGAAACGAAGGGGAATAAAAAATCAAATGCAAAATGCGAGCGGCGCGTGCTGCTCAAAGGCGTCAATTAAAAGTCGCAGAGATAGTCATTAGCCGAATTTGATTTCATTTGATTTTATGCCAAAGTCATGGTCCTACGCCTGACTCACGTAGAGGTTGCTCTGAAGTGTGTCAGCCAATCAGGCACGAAAAGTGGACCCAGTTTAAGCCGAATTGCCGCAGGGTGTTAATTACCCCGGAGATCGGGCTGAAATAAGGCTCAAAAAAAGGGGGCTGAGACGGAAGTGGATCCTTGGGGAGTGCCCCCATTTCATTTAAATAATTACGCGCGCTTAATAATTTTTAATAATTATAATAATGGAGCAGGCGATGGGCGCTGATTGCCCGGCGCGACGTGATAGCATTTAAGCCAGGCTGCCAACTTGACCATGGCTTTTGCCGGCCGGTCAAGTGCCGGGACGTGTCTGTCGGAATCAGATTTAAAGTCAGACAACTTGACGCGCCCCAAAGTTGATCGGCGCTGGGTAAATAAATTGGCAGCTTCGCCGATCGCACAAATAAATGGGTCTAGATGTCAATACTCACAAGCTTTAAGGGGCCAAACAAAAGCTCAAGCCGAGAATGCTAAACACGGCGTTAGCCTCGACTTAATCTTAATATGCTGCTCAAGGCTGCGACTAAAAATAGCCCATGAGCGGTCGATCGATCAGAATCGAAGAGCCAGAAATCAAAATTCAAAAGCCCAGACGAAGAGAAGCTGTCAAATTATGCTACATTTGTATCAATGCGAAAACCGGTAGGCGAAAGCCAAAAACCAGAGCCCAGAGCTGTGTGCTTAAGTCGACAGTGGGGACATCAATCATCCCACGGAGCCTCGTATTTTGTATTTCACTGGGATTTCGTATCGATGCTGCGGTTGCACTTCAGCGGGCGCTATGCTATGCAAATTTGTGAACTACCTTCGCTGACAAATTGCACATAAAGCTGTCGATCAGTTTCCGCTTACGGACGAAACAAACCGCTGAGATAATGTTGACAACGAAACGTCAACAGCTCGCAGTCATTTCTGTTCGTCGGTCGCCGAAACGAAACGAAAGACTCAGGCAGCGAACTCGTTCGCACAGCTCAGCCAAATGCCGACAATATGTTAACAAGTGCTTAACTGCACTGCGCATCTTGGCCAGGCGTTGACTTCACCTTGAACGCAATACAAAAAAAAAGAGGCCCAAAGGAAGGGGGCTAAAAAGGCAAGGAGACTGAAAAATAACCGACGCATTTAGCGCGAGTTAATTTTCATAGTTATGCTTTATGTTTCGTTTCATTTTCATTTATCATTTACTGATTATCACTACAACTAGCCTTGTGCCCCAACATATTTAATTACATTATTAGCACGGCGGCCTTTTGATTGATGCCGCAGCAAAACGCTTCGGCTTAACAGCCATGATACCAAGTGATATCAGTGACAAGCGATTACGGTCCCCGAGAGGAACCACCGCCATTCAGGCGATAATTCAGCCGATATCGAAGACAAGGCATAAAAGCAACCATCAATCAGCAACGCACACGCGCACTATAAAAATCTTTTTGTTTTCATTTCGCCTTTTTTATGGTAGATTGGGAATTTCTTGGGTGTTCAAGCGCCGCGTGTGCAGAACAAAGAACACTAAAACGAGCTATTTTTATTCGCATTTCTATCCAAAACTCATAAGCGTGGCGAGATCAGCTCAATGACCCATTAAAAAGCGGGTGATTTGTATAATTTTGGAAGCGCATTTGTGACGCCTGGTAACTTAATTTGTTTACAAAACTCAACTCGACTTGGTGAGGGCAATTAAAATGCCAAAGTCGGTTCAATGAGCTCCTTTTGCACGTCCGATTATTAGACGCCACTAATCGCTTTCAAGGGTTTCTACGAGGCTCCTGCTCTGATCTCATTCGATTTGAAGGGGATTTGCGCCGAGTTGAGTGGCCTTTCGAATGGATGAGCCGCTGACAGTTGACAGGTCAGCCACCTAAAATACTTTTAATTCATTTGGGCACTGGCAAATATTATATAAATTTAATAAACCCGATATTTGAACCGGTTTCCATCCCGATGCTTAAGTAATATGCCGACCGTGTTTCTGTTGCTTTTCTAAACTATTTATTATGCAATATATACACTGTTTAAAACTGGAAAATGAAGAAAGGTGACTCGCTTGTTCGAATTCGTATCTATTTTTGGTTAGACCTGCCAAACTGGCCAATTAGTATGAATTTACATAGTGCCCAAGTGGCATCACAAAGTTCTCAAGCGCCCCTCGTTGAAAAAAAGCGAGCGCAGATTAAACAGAATATTTTTTACGGGCAAATATTTGCACTTCACCGTATTCATTCACACAATAAATGGCTGAAACGTGTAGTCGAAGTGAACTAGAAAAAAAAACACTCAATAACTATGCTAGACATGCCCTGAAATTCTATTTTCTACAGATACACCCAAAATCCCTGAGCTGCATATGGAATTTTTTGGGACCTTGGCGTGGATGAGTCGAAAAACTTACCAATTATCTTTCCATTGCAGGCGAATGCCACTCCGCAGGAGATGATCATGATGGTGGTTAGTAATAGAGCACTTGGCTGCATCATTTTGGTTATGTAATTTGGGGTTTTAACAACACGTTGATTTGTATTTTTTTTAAATATTTAGACACTTGTTAATTTTCTCAAATATAACCTTTTCATAAATGACAGTGTTATATTTGGTATTCCATACACTTTAGCTTTGAAATTTTGCTAGAAATTTTTGTATCACAATTTGGAACGGTGGGCGGTGGGTGTAGGGTGTGGTAAAAAGAAGCCGCCGTTTGCCAGAAACCGAAAAAAAGAGCGCCACGAAAAAAAGCCGACGACTCCAACTCCACTCTCGTGTACGTGTAGCTAGACTTGAAGGCGTCGCCTGTTTGGTTAACCGCTCGGCGGCGCCAACGTTTTTATACCGCCGATCAGCGGCAGCGGCGACGACGGCGGCGGCAGCGGTAAAATCAGCAGCAGCGGCAGCGGCAACAGGTAAAGAAGCTACCTGATCCCATCGCCAGAAAGGTGAGCAAAGCAAGAGAGCGACGCAAAAAGCGCCGCGCAGTCGCAGTTTAACAGCAACTTGTTGCTGGTGTACCGACTACCAGCAACTTGTTGCTGCTGCCGATGCTACTACGACGTTTTGTGTTCTTTAACCGGCGTAATTGAAGATTGAACTTTATATTAATCATCCGGCTGGTTCGGCAACAATCACTCGCCTTCGCTGGGGGCGTGGCAGCCGGGCCGGGTCGCTGGGAAAACTGCGGAACCTGCGAAAACGGCGAAATCGGCGAGCAGGTGCCCTGCGGGCTTTCAGTCGAAGCTTCGATCATTTCGCGTATCATTAAAAACCAATAAAAACACCCAATTAAATGCACAGTCGCGGCGCACAAGAACAAATGCCACTTGATCCTTTCACCATCAGCATCGCTAGTGGGGCATTCGCATATGCATCTGTATCTGTGCCTGTAGGTGTAGCTGTACCTGCCCATTGAACTGGCCCTGTTCGCTTTTGCTCGGCGCATTTCCGCTTCGCGCTGGCTTCTTGCCAAAATAATTACGCGTACAAAGCCATTAACAAGTACAAACGATTGCGCCGGCCCAGCATCGCGGGCAGAGCCTTCTTTTAGCCCGGCAGAGGTTTACAGATGCACTGGGAGAAAACTCCATAGCCTCCCCTTATTTAATTCTGTATACTATGTGTTTTGCAGGAGTTCAAAATATTACTTTTTGAAAATTGACTAAAAATTTGAATTTTTTTTATATATTTTTGTGAGAGATGGTCTTATATTATTCTAATATTTCAAGAATAAATTTATAATCTTTTATTTATAAATATTTAAAAATACTAGAAATACACTTGAATTTCAAGTTAATACCATTTTAAAGTTATTTTATTGATTTTCGGAACTCACATTTTGTTATCTTAAAATACTTAATATTTATAAAATATTTTTTAGTGTCTCCACCGCTAACTGGTTCTGTTTATTTCACCTCGTTTTAGTGCCGCCGATGCCGCTGACCATGTTGATGCCACACATGACGTTTTGGGTGAGGGTCCCCAGCTCGGACTTGGACCCGGGCTCCTCTTTCCATTCCCAGATTCGGGCCCAATCCCAGTGGCAGTGGCAGTTGCCAATCCCATGGACCACTAACCAGTGACCAACGAAAAAGCGGCGATCGGCGTTCGGAGGCAAGTGATCAGCGATCGGGCACCGCCAGTGATGTCTCCGCTGCCCCGCTGATTTATTTTATTTCGCGAAAACTACATAAATATTAAAAATTATGCTCTACAGAAATATGAAATAAACATATGCCCGATACATGTTCTTTGATGTTCCTCTTCGCTGAGGCGAATGTCTGCTGCTCCCCAGGTTGTCGATGTTTTTGTTTCGCGGCTAGTTTACATTTCCTACTCGGGTGTGCGATGTGTGATTTTATTTGTGCTGGAACAATACCCATGCAGTTTAAGATTTAAGCAAACATTATTGGCCTTCGATTTTCGATTCTCAATTCTCGTCGGTGTTTGCATTTCAATAAACCTGCGTGAATCTGTCCGATCTGCCTGCGTATGGGATGTACGTACATTCGTGCATGTTAAGCGAGGTAAAAAATTCCCAACACCTCATTTAACTCAATTTAACAGCACTTGGCACCATCCGCCGGTTATCGTTGTTGCCTTTTCTGATTTCTGTGTTTCTGTAGTTGCTCCTCCGATTTGCCTTTGTGTAGTTTTATGACTCAATTTAATGTCTTTCTTGCGTTGCGCGTGTGCTGTCCATTTGGACATCGGCTGCCACCCACTGGACCAACATGTTTCATTTTATTTTATCTCTTCTTCTTTTTCGGCCATTCAAGACATCACAAGTCGGAAGCGGTCCGTACTTTCCGCTGAAATCCTGACGGTTGCATATTAATTTTTATAAAGTCATCGCTTCGCCTTAAGTGACTCAGGCGACCCAGTTGTTTTTAATCGATGCAAGGAAAGTGAATCGTTCACTGATTCACTCCGATGGAGAAATATCACTGGATTACAGTTAGTAATTTCTTCTTGGAAATGTTTGTATTCATTATGTTTTTGCACCATAATATTAGCTTTATAAACTCTACAAATAAAAATTTCTTCAGGGATTCACAAAAACCAATAATTGATCTCTTCCTATAAAAACAGCAAAGCTAAAATTACATAAAATAACCGAAATTAATTTGAAAATTCAACAAATTAGAGGTTAATATCCCAATTTTATGGAGCTGTGGGAGATAATTGGGAGTGCCGAAAACAATTTAAATTAAGATAACGTTTATAGCACACGCTTATATTCTACGATCCGAAAATAGACAATTTAATGGCTTGAAAAAACGAGTTTCTCTTTGGATCCCTCGCATGCCAAGAATATACATATATGTTATTTCTATATTTTATACTTCTAGATAAAGAAAGTAAAACAAGACACCGGCGAAGGCTGAATAAATTGGCGGCTAAATTTAGCTAATGAATATGCAATACCAATTGCCCGCAATCGGTTAGAAAGTCAGAATGCCAGGCCGTCAATAAGGTCATCAGCCATGTCATCGCGAACACGGCTTTTCCATTTGGTGATATAACGATCGGAGGTTGCTGATAATTTCTCTAATCAGTCACTTGTTTATCGCGGCGATCGCCTTGCGGAACCACTCGTCTCGCAGTTTGCGAATATGATTGCCAATTGACATTTGCTCATAACTACACACAGATTCACACTTTCCGCCCCTGAAGCTGTCATTGGGTCCGATATCGTTATTATTATTATTATCGCTGTTGTTAATGCGCCACTTGGCAATGCAGGTGTCAAGTGTCATCGGCGCATCCTTGTTTTTGTGGAGGTGCTAGCGCTTCCGCTGCCATAAATCTTCCCCAACTTGACTGATGATCAACATTTGCTTAGGCAAAATAAATAATAAATAAGGAATACATTTGGGGCGCGTCCGGAGGCAGAGATAAATGAGGGTTCAGATCCGCAGATCTGGTTGATAAGTCGAACAAACCATTTTATTAAGGCATCCTAACCCAACCACCACCCCTCTTTGATATCAATTTCGCCATGTGTGACAAAACATTTCCATAACACTTTATTTTTTTGTTTTTTTTTTTTCAACCGACGGGGACAACGACTATTATTAAAATATAATTAATTGCAATTGAAAGCTGGCTGCCAGCCAGTCTGGTTGACAGGCGCATAATTAAAATGTCATTCTGGTTGCGTTCACAATGAAGTTGTGAACGGCGAGAGCTCCATTAACAAATTGCGGAATTGGAAACGAAATCAAAATCAAAATCGGTATCTGAATCTGAATGATAATGGTAATGGGAGCTCCTCCGTCGTTTTGTTTTTTTTGCCAAACAGGGAAAATAAGTCAATAAGCCAAGAGCAACACGTGTTTGAATGAATGAATGGCCGCCGTCGTAAAACTATAAACAATTTTCATTAGAGAAACGTTTTTATTCTTATGCTAAATCGATTCATATGCTGATCAATCTGCGCTTGTGGTTCTTTCTTATTTAATTTTATTTCATTTTATTTTTTTGAACTTGTGCCGGCACAGAAATTGACGAGGGTTCCGAAGGGGTAGGGTGAGCCAGGGAACTCGGGAACTGGGATATATGCGCACACACCTTCATTAATTCGCTTTGGTAGCCAACGTTTTTTCATTAAAAAGCCGTCAGCGTACAATAAATTTTGACCATTTTTTGTGATCTGGTGATTTTTTTTCACTTTGCGCCTGCTGAGCCGATTTCGACCCGGCTCTTTATAGGCTTCATTATGGCCCCGATCGCTGTATGTATTTATTTTGCGCAGCCAGGCGACAGAACATAATTTTAACGCTCTTTATCGCGCCGCTCCGCTGCGCATGCGCACGATTCGACACTCGATGGGAATATTGATTTATGCTTCGATTTCTTCTTCATTTGCCATCGCGGAATGGAAATCTCACAGATTCGCATTCGAATTCGCATTCGAACTTGGTGGCTAACTATATCAGCGCATTTGATCTCTCGCCTCTGCTGCTTTTGACATTCGATGAATTCATAAGAGCGACACGACAACTTAATCAAAGCTAAGCACCGATCATAATTTATCAATTTCTGTCAGCCGGAAAAAAACAAAACAACCCGAAAGACAGGAGAATACAATACTCAAATTAACAAAACTATTATTACTGGTTGACTAACGGTGCCACGATGGAACCATTGGTGGTCCGCCGATCTTAACAAGCCCGGAATACACATATAAATATATAGATTTATACATCTCTGATTGGACACCCGACTTATGAGCCGCCACTCGCTCGCCTTGAGAGCTGCTTGCTGCTTTTTGGCTGCCACTGTACGTTCCATTTAATGGCATCATAATAGAACATACTTAAGCCAAAACGTATCTATTATCTGGGGATCGTCTGCCCGCTGGCTCATTAAAGGTCAAAGCGCGGAAGTTCAGCGAAACCCGAACGGGATCGCGATGAATAGATACGCCATCAGATATAATCCAAATGTGAGGGGAGCTTGTAGCCAAATAACACTGTGGGAAAATCTTGTTGCTAGGTCGAGTCTGACACTCAAGATTTTAAACTGATTATAAATATTTAATGGTTTTGCAAAACTTTTTCAGAAAAAATTTAAAGACATACATAGGTATCTTACACTAGTACTCACAAATTGGGAAAATTACTGACTATAACCATTTTATGCATTCTCGAAACTATTAATTTAATTTTAATTTTTCCCAGTGATTGCAAATAGTTTTACGGCAGAGTAGGGGAAGTACGGAAGTCTTGCGATGTTTACACCAATGATTTGAAAGGTTTAATCTGATTAGATTTAACCTGTTCGGAAAACTTATTAGAGTGACAAAAAATTCTAGAGAACGTCTAACATTTTTAATCCCTCATTAAGTGTATAAACATGTTTAATAAACTTGTCATAACTAATAAGAGGATTACCAAACCCTAAACGTCACTATAGTTCTCAAGTGTTCTAAAGTACGTCATTGATAAACTCGTTTTCAAAGTTTTACAGAAGTTTCAACGTCATAGGCGTTGTTAATTACATCATTAAACAAACTAGAAAATCTTTAACGTCATCTGAGTTCTTAAATACCCCTTTTCCTAGGGTAGGATGAAAAGCAAAAGCGCTAAATTTCATAATTCTTAATTAGCTTGAAAACTGAACTAGAAGTCGTGAGTCGCGAAACTTGTTTGTACAATCCGATCGGTTATGCTGGAATGACAAATTATGTATGCATAATCAGCCTGCCAGACAAAGTTGTAGTTTCACAGAGAGATTCACACAATTAACGAACAGATTTATATATTTTTCTTTCAAACGAGACCAGGGAGTACACGCGAAGGCAGGGTCCCATGCATATGCATGAGGTGCCGCTGATTGGACAGAAAAACAAAATTAGGCAGGTGGATGGATGGTTGTTGTGGTGTTTGAATGTGTTTCTGTTGAGGCCACAGGATCCAGATACCATTGTTCTTTGTGTTCACTGCTTTTCTCTTCGGTTGGCTGCTGTTGAAATCGGCTGATCACATCCACTATAACCAGACCGCCCACCAGGCAGAATCCCACAAGGTATAGGTAAAAGATGGGGCTATTGGGGAAGGAGTATTCGTCCTGGAAACCCACCCTTTGCAGGTCAGCCAAGGTCATTCGCATGGGCAGCCACTTGTTCACCACCTTTCCTCTGAAGACGATGGGCTTTACGGCCCCGAAACGCCTGGAACCGCCCCTGCCCATCTGCTTGTTTCGCACGGCGGACTGATATTGCGACCAAACCGTATAGACATGCCTGCCCGTAAATGTGGTTTCCGGCGCAGAGGAGTTTTGGTGTTGCATCCGCAGCCGGGAGTCGTAGATCTGGCGGGAATTGTGCCGATGGAGCGTCTGATAGGCCTCGCAGATCCGCATGAAGACCTCCGAGTCGCGCGTCTGGCTATTCGCATCTGGATGGTACTTCTTCGACAGCTCGATGAAGGCCCGCTTGATCTCCCGCTCGCTGGAGCCCACGGGCACGTTCAGCACCTGGTAGTGGTTCTCGAGCCGGGGATTCGACATCGGGTGGCTCTGGTACGTGAACCTGGAGCCGTAGCTGGCCAGGAAGCGCACCGGCTGGAGGGTCCTCAACATTCACGTAAATTTTGCAATTCCCAAACCGTTACTCTAAAAATTCTAAATTTCTAAAACTCTTGTTCTCGCATGAAAAAAAAAATAAAGAAAATGTATTCGGTTTGTAATTTATTTGACTGCTCCACAGCTGCCAACCAATCTGATCTGGATGTGTAGTGAGTGTTGAGTGAACTGGAATTTCCCCTGATCGATATCAAGACATTTCATTATATTTACTGCACAATCAATCAAAGGTAAAAATTCATTGAAATAAGTTATTTTAAAATATTATCTTGAGAAACAGGAAACTAACTGTGTTTTCCGCTATTAAATAACAAATCTAAGATATTTTCTGACCGATTAGCGAGTTGAAGATCTTGCAAATTCGGAACCCCAATAACGAAACTGAGTCACCGTGTCAAAATGCCCCATATTTGGCAACGGGGCGACAAACTTTTTTGTCAACAGCCGCGATTGATATAATATCGACCCTGGGCTATATAAGCGACACCATGGCCAATTCTGTAAACAGTCACACAATTGTGGTATGATTTGTGGGCCATTATCTTCTTCTGACCTTCCGGAAGTGCCAACGAACTTGGCAATGAATCTTCCACGCTTGGAGCGACGCGTGTGCTCTGGATTTAGCCAGCTTGATAACCTGACAACTTATGTTACATAGCCGAGCTAAATATTTGGGCAAAATGTGCCGCTTGTGTGGGTGGCGTTATCGAGGCAAGTGGGTCATTTCTCTCGCCACTGGAGACATAAACAATTCCATTGAACTTGGTTTTCGCACACTGCGTCAGCGGTTCGGGTTTTAGATTACGTCGAAGGCGGCTAAAAATATTTGCACAAGACATTACTATAATTGTTTTTGATGGCGCATTATACGCAGCTTGACAATTTCCATCGAATCACAATATTTGCCCAGCGAGTCATTCATTCAGCTACGAATTAGTGTGGCCATAAATGGGCTTATAAATAGAGATGCTGCAGTTTATTACTATGATACACCATTACAAACAGAACAATAAAATATTTAAAATATTGAAAATAAACAGCAATTTAATGTTTTTACTCATTATAGTTCTTTGTGTGCCAAAATTAGTGGTAATAAATAATTGTTTAATAATAAAAAAATAAGCTGTCAGTCTTTTTTTGAATTTTTATCCCCATTATTCGTAAGTCCCCTCAAAAATTTCTTTATAAAATTGTTGAGACTGGAAAAATAAAAATGGTTATTTTTTAAACTTGGATTTAAGTTTCAAAAATATAACAATGTGAAAATACAAATTTCTATATATCATTGTTTTAGGGTTAAAGCTATTGGCTTTTGTTCTTTTATTTTAAAGCATTTTGATTTCTGAGTGTAGTTCCCCGCCCGTTGGATAGTTCCAATCTCCGTCCCGACATCATTTGTAGACAGCATATGTTGGCCGGGAATGGAACCCCACCTGCTAATTGGTTTCAGTTGGACGGCTCGCAGACCGAAACCTTCTTCGAGTCCCAGGAACAGTGACCTCGAGGCGGCGAGATCCCAAAACAAATCGTGAAAAGCTGTGAACATTTAATTGGAATTGATTAAGCCGCCGGGCCGGTTGTGGATGGGCAGGTCATTAGTGATTGGCGACTTTAAATGGTCTCAGGTCGCCGGAATCCCCTTCTATTTATACTAGATCAAAGGGCTGAACCACCATTATAATCGCTTGTGCGTCACTGTGCAGCTGGGTTGGGAGTCTTCGTTTTTTATTTCCTTTTTTTGGCAGCATCATTTGGCCACAGCCCATATATGTTAATTGACACTAACAATTTGTTTCACCAAGACGGGCCATCTAGCCACGTTTCCGTCGAAATTACCATAGCAAAACGCAGTTGCCGGCGAAAGCCCCGTCCAGGCCGCCAAATGCAAAACGATAATTGGAAACAGGTTCTGTTTCTATTGAAGAATTAGCTGGCCCATCCCCACAGAGAACAGAAAACCGAATCGAAGATTTACGACAAGTGGTGACTGGTTGTCTCCGCCGTGCGCTGGCTCATTTATCTGGCCAATATATCTGTATAGCCACCAAAAGATGCCCCTTTCTTCCCGGCTTATTATGACGGGGCCAAGAGTTTTTCATTGGCCTGTCTGATAGTCTGATAGCCAGTTTACGAGGGTTTCTTTTGGGGCTCCATGCTGGGTCAATGGACAGAAACAGAAACGCTGCCAAGAAGTCTGCGCCGGCTATGGCTCATCGACTCGATTCGAGTTGGCTCGACTTCTCAACATGCTTGGTTTATCGAGTCGCAGCACGGCATACGGCGAAATTTAAATTATTCATATGTCAGGTTGAAGGCTGCTGATGCTGCTGCTGCCTTTCGCGTGTAAAAACCTATTTGATCGCAAGATTAACTCCGCTCGGCGATTGTCCGCGGATCAATTAAAACTAAGTAATGGCGTCTGCGAAACCGGCTAGAAACGGAAATACTCAAACTTCGCAAATAGACAGAGTTTGCATCAATCAAGCGGAACAATTTTATTTGTATTTCTTGTGAATAACTTAAGGGGGAAGTACGAGTTTCTAATTGTGAGAGTGTCCAGCACTTGTCCTCCTCAGTCGATATCTTACAGAACTACTCAGTTTTAAACTGCGCTTCGAAGCCTTCCTAAATTCGTTACTCAGATACTCTTTACTTTATAGTCGGTCCTTAGCACATTATTATCACTTGTCCCATTTTTATACTACCTATCCTATCCAGACTTTCAGTTGCTTTCCGTGGAAGTAATATAATAGTGCCCTGATTAACTATAACATTTGGTGAGAGGTACGTAAAGAGACTCCTTTTAGCCGCTAATGAGCCAGGTCTTCAGGTAGACAAAGGTTGCGGTGGCCACGTGGGTTATCTGCTGCGCAAATTCTGCAAGAGAAGATACAGAAACAACATAAACTTTACTAAATACGCCTGGCATAAAGAGACTTAACGACTATGTACTCAAATACTCAAATAAAGTGCCCGCCGACTGCAATGCTAATTTGCATTTACAGAGCTGTCGGCTCTTTTGTGCCAGCGACCGCGTTGGTCGACAAAACCTAATGGCAATGCATCCTCCTCCTTTTTAATACCCTTTCTGGCAGGGTATTCTCTAAATTTGTTGTTTTAAGATTTTTTCAGGTTAAATCTCCTTTAAGCTAGTAGTTAGTAGTTGGAAGTTATCAAAAATATCGTTAAATTTACACATATAGAGTGCGAAAATATAAAATGGGATTTTATTCGTATGCTAACCTAAAAAAGTTTTATTATTGCGAAAATTAGATGTATTATTTAAAGTAAGGTTAAATGCTTGAATAAAGTTAATTAAGCCTTTATTGCATGTTGTACATAAAGCATAATAAAATAAGATTTTGTTATGATATATTCCCAGTAATATATAACTACATTTTACAAAAATGTCAACGGAAAATTATAAAATTTTAACAATAACGAAAAAAAATTTTAAAAAACATTAAAATACGTTACAAATTATTAATTTTCTGTAATTTCCAAAAAGAGCAATGCAAATTCGTTATCCGTTGATAAACCCGAGATAGACTTTCCACAATTCTCGGGTTTAGTCTCGGGCTGAGGCCCCTTCAAGTTTTATTACGGGCGCGAAATGGCGACCGTAAAGCAGCCCTGAACCCTGGGCAAATTGACAAATGTTGGCACGCAAATTAGGTGGACGGGGAAGCACTATGGTGGGCATTTATGGGGCACCTTTCCTTTTAATGTGCCGTGATTAATTTGCATATTTCGGCCTGCACTCGGCTTGCGATGCGGAAGTGGCGGCATAATTGTGGATTTATATGCATCATAAATTAAGTTTTCTGCACTTCGGGTTAGCGGGCAGTAAATATGCGATTTTATTTGGTGTTTATCATTTCAGTTTTTATTGATTTAATGCAAATGCAAAGTGTAAGGCCGTGTAATTAGCGGCCACTAAGTCGGGAGTGATGGAGCTGTTGTCTCCGATGAGAGGCGTTTCCTGAAACTGAAGCTGATGATGACTTACTGAAAATATGGACAGATGTGCAAATGCCGTTGACAAATGATCGACGACCGGGGAGGGAAATAAAAGCGGATTGCTGTTTGTTTAGTACATGATACATGAGTTTTATTTGTATTTTACTTGTATCCATCTTGTATCGATATACAATATATTTCGTAATATAATTTCACTTAAATTTTTGTATTCTTTATGCTGCTTCCATGCGGGCTTCAATTGTTTACACATTACACTTCCTCTTGGTAGTTTCTTACTTTCTCTTGAGTTTCAGTAATCGTAATACATTTAGCATTCAATTGTGTTTTTAATTTGTTCTTTGTTTAGCAGAATTTCTTTCGGTTTCGATTATATGTAGTAGTATGTATATAATATTCAGTAAAATGATCCCTACATTTTGTATGCTCTTGTCATATTTTTCAATCTAGATGTATGTCTGTGTATATATATATATTTATATATAGTTAATATCTTAAAACAGCAATTATGTTTTGCATATGTTATCTGTTGTTTGCGCGAGGTCTGCACCTCTTGAAATGAACTTCCATTTCATTTCGTCTTCCTTGAATTTAAAGTAAGTTCTGCGACAATAATAATTTAAGTTAATCGGTAACAACGTTCCGTTATTGACACACAAACAAACATCGTCATATACATTAAATAGAATTCTGCATTAATTTTCGGTTTGTATTTGCTAACTTTTGCTGAACACTAAAGCGTCGCCATCAAATGATATATTCAAATTTGGAACACAAGATGAGGACTTTTGGAGCTGCCATTGTACTAGCTGTATGAGTATGGGTGTCTGTATCCACTTTTATGAGTCTCGATTTATTAATTTTCGATCTGCTCTTGACTTTTGCTCTTTTGCGTGAACAAAAGTTGTCTTAGTTGTTATTTTTAGCTACCTTTTAACTTTATTTGCATTAGTGATGCCCGACTCGAGTATTTGCTAGCCATTAAGTAGTTTCGTAGCCATTACACATTACTCAAACGGGCACCTGTCTGTGTGTGGGTGTTCTTATGGGGGGTGTGTGTGTGTGGGGGCAACTACAATTTGCAATAAAAGCTAATCCGAGTGTTCTAAGTGAAAACATATACTTTCAAGCGAGTTTTCGAAACGAAAATGGGGAAATTGAACGGAAAATGCTTGGCATGATTAAAAGCTAACAGTTATAATTACAGTTTGCTTCATTTGTTTTTGTTATACTTTTACCTTTGTTTTATTACCACTAACAAGTAAGAACACATATTTAACCACAATTTGTTTTTGTTTTCCGTTCTCTGGCTTGTTTCTGCTTGTATTGTGTTTGCTTGCTGCTTAATTTATACAAATTTCCTACTTAAAAAGTCATAAATCAGAGCCTTACTGCACACCTGCTGCTTTCAAGTGTGTTATTCATAATATATAATTAAACTAAATAAACAATAGGCCATATATTGATATGTATTTGATTTTTATACATAAAAGACTCTGTGTTTAATTCACTAAACCTCTTCTTTGCCTTTTAACTCTAGTTGTGAGAATTGTTGTGATGTCAAATGCATTTCTGTGCCTGGTTTCTTCAGTTTTTATCGTATCGTATATATTTTAACTTCATCAGATTCAGATTTATATTTGTTTTGCTCTTTTTCATGTGAGTGTTTTACTTTGTATTGTATTCTATTGTATAGCAACCAACATATTTATTACATTGTACAGAGAGTTTTGTCTACCACCTAGATTTCGATTTTATTATCAGATGTCGTAGCTGATACAATTTTTAACTTGTTCTTAATACACAATAAACAAAAACTTGAACTATGTTTTCTTCATTTTGGTTTAAGTTTCGCTTTTCTATACAAAACACAAACACAATAACCGTCTAAGGATGCTGCTCGTGTATTTCCAATTCTCACGCTTCGTCCTTCTATGAAGAGTGTTAAGTGTGTGCTTGTGTTTGTGGAAGGGTATGCGTGTGTGCCTGTAGATTTGTGTGTGACCAGCATGCTTTCATTATTATCATAGATTAGAATATGAGTGTTTCCGTTTCCGTTTCGATTCGTTTATATATAAATTCTTTTACAATTGGCAGACTACTACATCAAAAGCACACTGAGATGTGTTCGTGAGAAAGTTGCTGCGTGTGTGTGGTTGTCCTATCGTTTATATATATATATACTCTTTATAAAGATGACCTGGAAGAACCGCAACGAAAGCCATAATCTATAAAAATCATACGAGTAGCGATTAGTGCACGTTCACCAAAAAAGAGACGACGAAGTGTCCATGTCCATGTCCATGTATAAAAATTTAGATCTATAAGCATAACACTTGGAATTTGTCTTTCATTCGTTTGCTCCTTTGCTTCTAAGGCGAAATATTATATTGTCAATTCTTTGGCTTGAGCCGAAAACCATGCAAAATGACAAAAAAATATTCCTAATTTCGGGTGAGACGAAAATAAGAGGGGGAGGGGGTTGGAAATGCATGTCAATGGTAATATCAACGAAGTCGTAGAATGAGTACTTTTCACTTCTCTTTTTTTCGAAGGCAGAAGGCATAATACACGGTAAACTCATGTATTTTTTTCTCTTTGATATCTATTAACTCTATGCTCTCTGTGAGTGGACGCACAGTTAACACTGCCTTTGATGACCTCTGACCCCGGACCCCACCTGACCTTGGAGGCCGGCCAAGTGGGCGTGGCCCTGGCACAGGCAGCACTCGCTTTGGCCCACTCGTCTCTACAGAATGGATTAACTAACAAGTCTAGTCTTGGAATCGGTTACTCTATATACCTAGGTTTATTCGTTTTCATTTTTCTTATTTATCTTTCTTTTTTTTTTGGTTTCGGTTAAGAGGCGAACGTGGTGCAATCATAGGGATAGGGAGTAGGGATTAAAGCTAGTTATCTTGGAGTTCGTCTCACACTTTTTCGTGTCCACAGTTTTAGACAATGGCTTAGTACAAAATTTTAAAGTTATTCATCGTTTGTTAATATCTCCATTTTACGCAATTTCGGTTTTTGTTTTCATTTCGCTTCTTGCATGGTATAAAAATATAAATGTTCCACATATACTTAAAAAATCCTTTTGTTTAAGTTATTATTTCGCATCATGCAGTGTTTTTATTTGTTTTGCTTCGATTTGTTAGTTGTCTTGTTTGTCCCTTTAAGATGTATTTAAAGTAATGCATAACTTAGGAATGCCTTGTGGATCTGCTGCTCCTTCCGATTCGCTTATCGCTCAATTGTAGAATTATTCGTTAATCGCGGTGCAATTGTCGTATAACTATGGGGAGATTTCTAAGAGAGTGGCTTGATATCGTTGCTTGCATTGGTGTTGGTGTTGAGTACGAGTAGTATCGGATATAACGGAATCGAACACAGTGTCCTAAGTGCATTCGTCACCTGGCTAGAGGGTCACATAAATTTTCCTAGATGCTACAGTTGAAAGCGAACATCGCTCAGTAGGCCTCGACCACAGTTCATATCTAATACAATACAATAATCATTTATTTATTTGGATTTTCCATTGGTTTTTGTTTTGGTTTTTCGGTTTAAGGGTTTTCCCATTTATTGGTTGGTTTTAAAACTTTCAAATGTTAGCAAACAGTTAATGTTGTTGTTCTTCATAAGTCTAATACTTGTTGAATCTATGTATTATCAGATAGTGTGTGGTATTATAATAATTGTTGATAAAAATAACTTAATTAATATCAGTGTGGCTTACCTTAGTAAATTTCGAAAGGGTTTCGATTTTTCATAGTTAATACATATTGATATGCCTTTAATACGATTACAGAATACGGTTACGATTACAGATTACAATTACGATTACTCATTAGCTCTCATTTAGTCTGCGACACACACTGAACTCTAGGGTTGACAATGATCATTTCATTTCATTTTCTGGATTTACGTTTTGAACAATATTTATTTATAGATATAGACATACCAAGTACATATACGTTACTCATTATACAACACGTTGTGTGTTTAATCATTGATCCAATTTCGCTATGTGTATAAAATTTCTAATTACCATTATTCAGTATTAAATCATTTCATTATTCAATATTCGTCCGTCCAATTTTCTCACTAAGCCAATTTGTAAAACGTTTAGTACAAATACAATAATATACTGATATGTTTTGCATTATAAATATCGTCTTCCTCTTCGTTTTCGTCTTCGCCCCGAACTATGCTTAAACCTCATTTTTCGATCGATTCTTTATTACAATTTATCAATTTGTTTCGCTTTGTTCGCTTCGAAAAAATTTGTCTTGGTTGCTTGACTTGGGGCTACATTCACTAATCGATTTGTATTTTCCGTTTTTTTACTTTCACTTTTCTCGTTCTAATAAACCAATGCCAATTTTTGTACAATACAATTGTTGATATTCCGAAAATTTCCATTTGGGTTTTTCTCATAAGAATCTTGTGTGGTTACAATTTTCGTGTGTGGTTTTGGTTTTTGGTTTTCCTTGGGAAAGTGAATCGAAATCAAACGAACCCTCAACCTAAGCATGAAACCAATGCAATTTGGCCAAATATAGTTAGGCAACAAGGACTTTTTCGAACTGAAAGCTAAAATTGTGCCATTAAATGCGCTCAAAGATCGCTCAAGAATGTGGGCGTGGCAAAAAGTGTCTGTCATCTGAGCATTTATGACTTCTCCGTTCGGTAAACGTATCTGTAAACTTTGTTTCTTTTTGGCTGCCCCCGAAGGCAAGACAAGCATTTTTGTTTTTCTTCTATTCTCATTAATATTTATCAAAAATTCCGTCCATTTTTTGGCCAATTTCTCTCAAATTAAGCAATTTAGCATTGTGCTACACAAAACAATTTGGTTTGGGCCTGGCCTATGGCGCGTGGCATGTGGCATGTGGCTACAGTGGTCTCTGGAGTCTGAAGTCTGGCCGGGAGGACCCTCCGTCCATCCCGACCATCCGACTGCCTAGGGGTGCGTAGAGCTCTAAGTTCAATTTACAAATGTTCAGCAATTGCCATCGACTTGCTCAAACCGATCCTACTAAATTCCGTAAACAAATCTCCTGCTCCTACACAAATGTCTGCGCCTACAAAAAATTTGGTTTCCTTCCGCTTGCTAAATTTTATTTATATACGTGTTCTAACTTTAAGTGTGTGTGTGTGTGATTGTGGGTGTGGCTGTGATGGTGTGTGAGTTCCAGTGTGTGTGTGTGTTTGTGTGGTTACTGCCGGAAGTGGTTTTCTTTTAGAAAACCCCTTTGGTTCGCAATGCGGCGCAGATGTAGATCAGAGCGGCGATTCCCAGGAGCTGCAGCTTTGGGGCTATGGAAGCACTGCCCGAATCACCATCGCAGCCTGTTCCTACGAAAAGAGAAAGATACAGGAGTTTATATTCAAAGAAAACATTGCACAGGTAAATAATGATCATATTGTATGTATGTGGGCGGTTCTGGAAAAGGTAATCCGTTCTTCTTCTCAACAAACAGCCATCTTTTCTAATCTACTGCTCCGTTATCGCTCAAAAGCCATCACATGAAGCCAAAAATGATAAGGATACATAAAAAGGTACTCTCAAAATGAAGTTAAGCAAGTAAGCGTTTGGTTTTCGGTGCGAGTTTCGGTGCAATGGTAACGAAAAACGAAAACTTAGGGGGAAATTCTCGCAAACTTACCTTGGACCGACTCAAAAGTCCCTCAGAACGGTCTGCTTTGCATTGTCATGTCATAATTTTTTACATTTATGCAAACATATGTTCAGTCAAAATTCGTGTGCTAATTCATTCGAAAGTTGTTTGGCCACAACAAACCAGACAAGATACAAACTTCAAATGGCCCGGCCGGCGAGTCGATCAGATTTCAACACGCCAAACCAGGCCCAAAGTGTTTGTTGTTTTTCTCTCTTCGCTTAAAGTACAGGGATAACTTGCTCAACGACTTATAATTTATAATCCCCGTCAGGTGGAAGTGCAAGTGTGCAAAATGACTTAAAATCAAGCAAGGCAATAAAACATGGCGAAGCAAATCAATTTCGAAATCAATCTTCGGCTAGAGCCGGGCAATAAATCGCTTTTATAATATCCGAATTGTTCATATTTCTCGAGCCACTCTGTCTGTCTGTCGCGTGCATTTAATTTTTGCTAATTTGAATTTAAAAGGCTGACCAAACCATAGATTATACGTTCAGATAATGAAGAAATAAATTGGCACAGCCGCAACACAAAAACCACATACGAATTAAACGCGGCGAGCATATTTGAAACACGTGTCGCTAAGAGCCGAAATACAAAAACCAAAAACGAAACGAAGCGAGGCGAAAGAGAAAAGGCCATACAAATGCAAAAGATATTGTATCTACAAGCGGGCTTTAATCCGTATCTCAACGCGTGCGCCTGAGTTATGACACGGCGATCGTTTATTTATCGCGGCCGGTGACATTTCTCGAATCCAGCGGTGCCAGCGTGTCTGGTAAACACAGCAGGACGACCGACGACCGACCGACCAGTTCCAGTTCCCATTGTATAAGATTAATACAAACTAGATCTTGGGTGAAATTTTAAATGGCCATTAAGGCAAATGGGAAGCATTGTTGGCAAGCGCTGTTGGCCATAAAGAATAAACCGCTACATATACAAATGCAAATTAATTAATTTGCCAAAAACCAGTTTGCTTTGAATTTAGGGGGGATTTTAAGGGGGGAAGGGTGGATATTTAGTAGAAATCTTCGGGTGCTAAGTGGCAACTTTTACCGCAGCCAGAGATCAAAAGTGGAGCTTGTCATATAGCTATGTGTATCCAAACTTAAAACCAAATCCCCGCCGAGTGATCGATTGAGGAGATGCCTGCATTAGGAGAGGGGGGCCTGCACCACCCGCTCTCTCACCAAGTCCCCAGTTCGTTCCCCCAGCCTCATTTGCATACTCGATCGATCGGATTTATGTAAAACTAAAAACCAAAATTAGCTCCTAAAACCAACACGGTTAATTAGCATAAATTAAGTTTTTATTAATTTGTGAGACAGTAATTTTCTTTTGTGCCACTCATCGATTAGGTGGTTTGGTGGCTCGGTTGCGGGCCAGACTTGGTGGCGCGGTCCCCTGCGATGGTGATCTTTCACCCAAAACCCATAAACTTGCCCACTCGCTTTAATGGCTCCCCCGGCTTTTACAGCCTTAAGTGCAAACATATAAAAGCCGCGACGCCCACAAACAGGCGGTTTAAACTAAACTACCTAGAGATATTGGGCTTTTACGGGCCTCGTCATTGATCATTGTCAGGGCCAGGCTTATAGCTCTTGGCTTACGGCATATATGCATATTTACATTTCTTTCTCGGTCAGTCGTCCGATCTGTCTCGCAACTCATTTCCCTGATTGATGCGCACATTTTGAAAAGCTGACAGTGCCATAAATAAGAAAACACGGACGACGACGAACGATGCTCCGCATAAATGAAATAAATTAAAAAGCATAACTATAAAATCTTTCACCGAAACAGTCGCGTCAGCCCCTCTGACTCACTATTGGAAAGGAAGAAGCTTAAAAGGCTTTAACTGTATAGCACACCGAAAAAAATGCACATTGCTTTAAATAAATTTTCTCACTTATTCATATTAAAATAACAAAAATATATATTTTGAAAATCATTTTTGTTGTCTTAAATCTTTTTGTCACTGGATTCTTAACTAATTTATTTTTAAAATAGCTATGCAGCAATAAATATAATATTGTTTAAAATGTAACTTTAAATTATAAAAAACCTGTTATAAAAAACTCAAATAAAAGTTGGTTCTCAAATGACATAATCAAACATAAAAAAGTATTAAAAAATAAACAAATATTTTTTTCTGTGCACCCCTGAGACATCATTAATCATTCGAGCGGTAAGTGTTCAACTTGTCGATTCCGAGGCCCATTGACACTTGCTCTTTGTCCAGAGATTCCCGAAAGAAAGTCTTGGGATAGGTTGGCACTTTAATCGCCGCTATCAGACATCAGTATCAGTACATACATTATCCGAGTGAATAATCCACTTGGGACTCGTATGCTTCGCTTGACCAGCGTGAACCCGATTCGGAGGAAACCGAATCGCAGCTCGTCTCGAGGTGTGGTTCCGATGATGCCGACAGCCATTAGCTGACTTAATGCCATTTTTTTACGATATATCGTAGCGAATACCAAATTTATGTTAATTGTATGCCAAACTTACACACAAACGAAACGAACGACACAGCACAAGGCAAACGAAAAGAACACAGATAGAGCAATACAGTACAATGGGGGACAGAAACCACCGACGATGACTGTACTTTCATTCACATTCGGATCGGAGTGTGTCAGGCGTCTATATGCATTTGCATATATCATCACTCACCTGCCCAACTCCTGACCTTCGGCAAGTAATCGTTCCAGAACGAACAACGGGCCGCCAAAGGACCTCGGGCCAATTTTTCGATCTTGTCGTCCGTGCTGAAAATATAGTAGACGGGATCCTCCTTGGAGAAGTTGGGCCACTCCTCGCCATCCTGAGCGGGATTTCTGCAAGACATACGTATATATAGAGCTTTCGTTATGGCAAATGAGTGGAGAACTTGGCTAAGTTTTCCATAAAATCAAGGCGAAAGCTCTCGGGTGAAAAGCTCGGGCCACAGTACTCACCCCGTCTTGGCAAACTCGATGACCGCACTGAGCATACGCTTGCCCAGCTCACGCTCCACAGGTCGATACTGCAGGGAGTTGTTCAGCGGCTGGCCAAAGAAGTACTCAATCTCATCGCCGTGCAGCACTCCCATCCATTCGCCCCACAACGAGGTGCTTGTGCGCTGCAAAAAGAAAAAAAAACAGGGAAGGGGTGAAAAAGGGCCGTCGAAAAATGAGAACAGTGCCGCGACGCTGTCGTAAACTCAGCCAGAAATTATGCAGATAAACATCTACCCTTCTTATTTATTTATTTGATTTTGCTCGCCTGCTCGCTGGCGTTCCCTGTAAATTGTAAATATTGTCGCAGCATGCCGCGCACTGGAGCGGCGAAGGAAAAAAAGCAGAAGCGAATGAATAAATAAGTAAACGCCCGGTCGACAGCCAGTTCAGAATTTCAGCATTTCACCATTTCAGACCCAAAACTCTGGCGCCCTTGACAGGCAGCGGCATTAAATGCTCTCGTGTGGCGCCGTTTCACGTATCTCACGGCAGTTTGCACTGCAACTGCATCTGGGGGATGACGATGCGGAATCGCTGGGCAGGACAGGACAGGCTGTTGCCATGAGTACGTGCATGTGCGACCACATTGCGTATTCGCCCTGTTACACAACGGACCATGTCCGCAGCGACATCTGCTTAAAGATAAGCCCACAAAACGCGATAGATAAATGCATGGATAGAACTTTAAGCCGTTCCTTTTTTTTGGCATACAGAAAAAAATATTCTTAAACTTTGTTTACCCATAATAATTGAGAAACAAATGTAAATATCATACAAAACTTCAAAAGAAAACTTTTAAAATTATTTCTAACGAATTGTTATACCTTTCAATAAAGATTCAAGTGTTGACACTTGTTTATGAATTTTAACAAGTTTTTCGATAGCTGATATAATAAAATGGTGATCAAATACTAACAATTATAAAAATCTTTATTATTTAAATAACGAGATTACTCTCACAAAACGGAGTACTTTTAAAAAGGCCAAAAAGAAGGTACATATTTTATTTCTCACTTATTGCTTTTCTCCATTAAAAAGGTTCCATTTTCATCTTGTAACCTTTTTCAAATGCTTTACCTAAATACGTTTTATATAAATTAAACCTAATAAATTAATCAAAAACCCAAGAATATTGCATAGATACTTTCTTGCTTCACTACGCTTTGTTAAAGCTGCTACCCTGCCACACTCTTTGCCATTATCTGCTGCTTGTAAATTCCCTGGCAGAAACGACTACTCCGACTACTCCTGGCAAATGCTAATTAGGCAATCCCCTTGTAAAATGCAATCTCATGCAAAGCGAAAAACCAAAACCCGCCAATGCGATTCTGCTGACCATTAGGCCTAGCCAAGAGCTGAAAGCCGAGGGCTGAGGGCTGAAAGCTGAGGGCTAACCACTTAACCATTCAACTTGAGTTGGCCACAGTTGGGCTCTGCTTGAGCTGCACCTTGACAGGCTGGCAGCCAAGTGCCAAGTCGCATAATGAATAGTGTCCGGGATATGCCAAGGGTAATTCTGGTAATGCGGGGCTTCTGCTCCTGCTCCTTTTGCTCCTTCTGCTCCTGCCAAGTTGTTGGAAATTTATGCGACTTGGCCGTTGGCTGTCAGGACACACGTCCCCTATACATGCACACACACACGTAGCATAAAAGTCCTGCAGTCCTTACGCCTTTTCGTGCAAATAATGAAAAATTGTACGCAGCCGGAGCGGAGAAGTAAACTTTTTTGATTTAAGCGCAAAAATTGCAAACAGCGGAGAAACTTGGACTCGGAGGTCATAATGAGAAACGCCATGGTCGAGAGTCGACAGTCGACAGTCGGGAGGAGTAGTGAACTACAGTGGAGTAAAGTACAGTGGAGTGCGGCAAAAGAGGAAAATGAGGGGTTAGGGGGTCGGATTAGGACGAGAAGCAGTTGAGAAGGAAAACTTATTTAAGTGCCAGGCACGTTGCACGCTGCAGTAGTCAGCGGCGAACGGCAAAATGAAACAGAAACAGGAGCCGGGAAATATGGGCGGAAAATGGTAGGAAGACGGGAGAAAAGTGGGCTGGCTGGTCAGTCAAGCATGTGGCCACTGGCCATTGGGGGTAACCCCCCAACCCCCAACACCCCTGACCCATTCCGGTCACCAGCCAAGCAGATAGACAATCTGGCAGGCACTTTAGCAGCTGGCGACCCCATTCGCCATGCTTCGTCGCCCCATCGCGGCCCCGTTTATGGGCAAAGTGAGTTACGAGCTCTGTTGCTGCAACTTGACGGCTGTAATTAAAACTAATTTCATTTGCTTTCATTTCCATTTTTTGGGGCGCCAGCCAGCCAGCTTCTTCTGGCCGCTTCAACCTTTTGGCCCCGCTGGTCTATTGGATTATTAACGGGCGATTTGGTATAAACAATGCAGTCGAACTGCCACCCGGCACGCACTCAGTTTGCATATTGTGCAATCATCCGGAAGGATTAACGACTCGGCGGGAAAACAGTTTGATTATCACTGTAAACTGGCGACAGAGTTGACCATAAATCAAAAGTGAAGAGCATAATGTGTGGGTAATTTGTTAACCTGTTCGAGAAAAACTAACAAGTGATGTAGAAAATAATTAACAGCCGAAACTAAAAAATAATATTTATTATGTGCAATACCAATGCGTATTAGCCTTCCATAGAAAATGCTCATTTTACCCACTTGGTCCCCCACTGCGTATGCGTAATATTGATTTGCCTACTGCAGTGATTTGTTCAGCCAAATTACCACTTATCGTCGGTCAATATCGACTACGAATCATTGCTATTAGTCCATGTGTATTCAAGGAATCGAAGATGGCGAACGAAAATCAATACATTATACAAACCACACTGCGTATACGCATTGTGAGAGCTGCGTATTTGTTAATCATTAGGCCGATCCAACTGGGCCTGCAACAAGCCGATATCAATCGACGGCAGCAGGCACCAGGCAGCAAGCACCGCAGCCAAAGTCGTTTAAACAAATAACTGACTGAAATTATGCCCCACACGTGCAGGGCATGCGGGCCGTGACCTCGTAAATTGAAGTTTCATTAGTCGACTCCGCTCCCATGCTCCTGCCCCCCCATTCGCAGGGTCGTGATCCAGTAACGATTGCCGGTCCTGTTCCCGCAAAGTAGTTGTATAGCTGTACAGTTGTTCTGTCTGCCCAGGGCGGCCAACCTCCTGAGCTTGTGCGTGTGCGTATACTTTAATTGGCGCCCAACGAGGGGCTTCTCTGTGCGAGTGTTCTTCACTCGCTGGTGGGCGTGTGTTGCGTGAAACTTTTGGTTACCATAATTATGGCGGCCAAGGTTGCCAGTCAACTCAACAATCGCAAGAGCAACTACGACAACAACAACGACAACAGCGACCCTTGCCCCCATAGGTGTGACATTATGAAGTCCAATCAAATGGATTGCACGCATTGTGGCTGTCTTCAACAAATTGCTTGATTAATTGAAAAATACACACGAAGTGACCGGACACGCCACGTAAAATTGCACACGACAAGGGACTGGGCAGATATCTTTATCCCGCGGCGGTGATTTTTCAATCATAACAAATACAGCAATTACGTGGAATATGTAGTTGTACGATTGCAGAAGGTTAACGAATTAATTGGTCAATAAAATCGTTACTCATCGCAGCTATTGTACCTCATTGATTATAATGAAAGGATATATCTACGCTTCTGAGTAGATAATGCAAACCACAATTTAAAATCAAAAACTTTGAGATTCAATTAGTAAGTTAATGTTTTAAGTCTAAAAGAACAAACAAAGACACTTAAGGAAGTCAGAATATTTTTTGTTAATTACCATGTCAACTCTAACCTTCACAGATGCCTGCTCGTGAACTTTTCATTACCTGAATAATTATAGACAATGAAATAACACTGGCCTGACTTCATGTTCGAGCTATTCTCGGCCAAAAGCAATCAACTAGGGTCTGCTCCTGACCTCATTCTGACTAAAGAAACTTTTACTTTCTGTGCTGCAGATTAGCCGCAAGCTCTGCTTTTTCAGGCACTTCCCTTCAACCCCTAGAGCCACACATCGGTCTTTGGAAACGCCCCGCCATCATTCAGCCATTAATAATTAAGGTTCACACAGTCGCGTTGACATTTGACGCCGTAACTGCTTCCGCTGGAGATGCAGCCACAGTGGAGTACACGGAGAGAAATTAAGCATCTTAAGAGATAAACTCTTGAAAATATTTTAGTAATGTTCCATCGAAATCTTAATCTCAATTGGAAGTCAAGTCCCTAAGTATCTCTAAGCAATTTTAATTTCCTTAAAACCCTTACACTTCCTTAGACTTTGACTGAAATTTTCCTAGTGTCGAATACCTGCGACAGTTATCCACTTTGGTTCCGAGCTGGACTGCTGCCTGCCATTAGCCCTGTGTGCAATTTTAATGACACGCAAATTGCCGTAGCCTGCGTTGCAGTGGCTTCAGCGTGGATTTTTGTGCCGTTGCGCCACTTGCGCCCCATTTGACCGCATTACGATTGGACGCACGCGTTTCAACGCCATCTTACGTGTCAAAGCCTGAGAAATATTTAATGGCCGCCAGGCCGTCCAGTCCATTTGGTCTGGCTACGGTGGACACCCCCTATACGGTACTCACGTGTGTAAAGTAGTAGTAGTGCACGGAGGCTCCTCGCTCCGCCAGAGCCTGGGCATACTCGTTGGTGGGGCAGGTGAAGAAGTGATCGCCCACAGCGCGTCCGATTTGCTGTTGGTTCTGATATCCCGGATTGCCCTCCCAGCTGGTGTACTGAAAAGTGAGCGAAACGGTTTAAGATTTAGTCTATTTTAATATTAATGACTTAATTTAGGTTCTAGAAAATATCTATCAGAATTAACTCTATTATCTTTGAAAATGAAAAGCCCCACGTTGGGCGCCAAATTAAATATACAAATTTTAAGCAACGCCAAATAACAAAAAACAAAGAGTAATGATAGCCAAAAAGGTTTAAATCTCAAGAGATCTATTCCTAAAAGTAAACAGATCTTAGAATTTCGATAGTTTTCTGCTCGCTTTTTATAGAGTTAGGAATTATGGCCAACATCACGGGAAAAATGTCCCTAGTCAATCATGAAATGAAGTTAGCTGTCATTTTTGCCAATTTGCGTTCGACCATTTCAGAGGTTCTGGTTCGTTGGGTATCTCCTGGGCCAGCTAATCCCGGATTCTGTCCGCTCTGAACTGTCAAAAGCTTATCCACTGCTGACGCAGAATGCCGCAAAATGAATTTTCCCGGCTACAGAACAGAGTAAATGAATTAAGCCACTAAATGCAATTCAATCAGCCAGCCGTCGCCGTTGACGTCGCATTTAACGTGTTTAGAACATGCCGCGATGCTGCTGGTGACACGGAGTAGTTGCACGTTGCACAAATGCACTTTAAGCGATTTGCGTGACGTATTTAGGAAAAATGATGAACTTTTGGAAACTGTTTCGCTATGTTGATAAGGAAATTAACTAACTATTTGGCTATAACGTTTTTGCCAAATTTAAATTAATAAATTTAAAGCAAAATAAAATAAAATTGCATTTCAAGGAATTCAAATGCGTAGTGGAAAGTTACCTGGAAAATGATGGCCTCGCGTTCCGCCTGCGTTGCCTTGCCGAAAATGTTGTTCATAATTTCCAGATATTTGTCCCGTGGCAGGGCCGTGGCATCGTCCTTATCGAAGTAATCGATGAAATCGTACAGCAAGAAGTAAGTGCCTGTAAAAGAGGAGATGGGGGAATAAGTGTTTAACCCGTGCGAGGTCAACTCATAACAATGCTGGGTGAGAAGTGACGCGATGAGGGATGTTGGCCAATCTGGAAAAACAATTACCACTACAGGCGGCGCTTCAAGATGCCGACTCACAATGGAGGGGCCGTGCCAAGGACACCGCGCTCAGCATTAACCCCAAGTCCTTAGACCCAGCAGCAGCGCCAGCACCAGCGGCAACAGCAATCATAACAGTTTCAGAAGCCGAGGAGAAGTAAGTGAAAGAGTGCAAAATAGAATAAACCAAAAACTCGTGCCCACTACAAAAACAGAAGACTGAAACGAGAACGAGCCCTAAAGTCGACTAGAAAGTACCCGAGATAATGGGATGGGTGGGTACCCTTACCTTCGCGGCTGAGAAAAACTTGTATAAAGTAACTTAAACCTGCCTTTTTGTTTATAAATACAAAAATAAGGAAGATATCAATATAACTTCGGATATCTGTCAAAGAAATATTAAAACGACATTTTAAATAAGTAATTGTATTATTATTAATATTTATTTTTTTATTAGTTTTTTAATTTTGAACATATCATTCTTTCTCATAAACAATCAACCCTTCCTCTATAGTAATACACGGTACAAAAGGCAGGGCGATAGAACAAAGCGGCTCGTCGTTGCCTTTTATTAACTTAATTTTTATGGCACTTGTTGTTGGCCCAGTTGTTGTTCTGCTTGGCTTTTGTCTTTGTCGCACACTTCAAATACGGGCCACACTAACGAACCATAATTGCTGCCTATGAGCGACGACAGCAGCAACACAGCAGCAGCAACACAACAGCAACACTTACGGCAGCAGCAGCAACATCAGGACACATAGTCGAGTATCTGTGTTTGTGTGGGCCGAGGGCACGTGCAACCCATTCCCAATTTATCTTGCTGGCCCACTGTGTTTATGTTTGCTTCGATTCCATTAAGGTCAAAACCTTATGCAAAGCCAGGCACGAGGAGCTTTGACTTGAATTGCAAACAATCTTGAACGAGCTGACAGAAACTGTCGCTTACCAAAGTCGATAAGTATTTCCCAGAAAAAGGGGCGAGTCAAGACATATATTTCCGTTAAGGCAGGGATTGTTTAAAGTTACTTAAAGACCGAAATTCGTTCCGATTCTCTCACATCAATCGGAGTTATGGGGTCTTAAAAATGTAATTCAAATGCTATGAAGAGTCTTAGAATTTGCATAACCATGTTGGTATTTTTCTGTACATATGGAAACGACCTTGCGTTTTTCAACTATTACTGGATGGCGGGTATACGCTTTTAATTAAATTGCGAACAACACACTCACTCTGTGGCCACAAATTTCTTTGCTTTTTTTGCGGGAAATCTCGCTCACTCCCTCACATACACACAGGCGAAATGTAAATACGGTTTTAATGAGTGTATAATTGAGTTAGCAGCAGCAACAACAACGCCGGCTGATTCGGCCAGGCTAGAGGCGAAATTCAGGACTACAACTCGGGACTACAACTACGGAGCCAGCGATAAGTTGGCCGTCTCGGAACGCGAAGCAATTAACGAGCAAACAAGCTGTCTTGCACACACACAGGCGAAGGAGGCACAACCACAGGCAAAAACACATACATACTCACGCAGGATATGCATGCAATCGCGAGTCGGAGGACCTGCCACCGAAAATGAATTATTTAAGCACCGAAAAGTTGGCGCCTCGAGTTCATTGCATACTTTTCGGATGCACTTCAGCCCAAAGAAAATTCGGATAAAAAATAATTTAAGCTTTTTTATATAGCAAAATACATAAATTTTAGCTTAAATCCAAATTATTGACTCATTTATGGCAAAGTGCAAGATAAATCTGGAAACCCATTCCGCATGCGTTTCTGAATTTTTCCAAACAATTAGTTATATTTTATTTAGGATAGTCATTAAGAGCACAAACAAAATGTATATATATTTATATAATTTCTATATAGTATGCAAAAAGGACGCGAAGGGCAACCGAATTTGTCAAAAACAAACAGAAAAGGATGCTTTCATGTGCGCGGCTCATCGTAATGTATTTGAATTTGTATTCGTATTGTTGCAAATGCTAGATGACCTTGAACTCACAAACACAGGCACAAACACTAACCCACACACACACTCAGCTGAGTAACGGTACTTGTACCCATGGAAAATGGTGGCAGTTGCCTGGCGGCCATGCACGCACACCTTTTTGGCCAAGAGAAAATAGAAAAGAGAACGTAAAACGGAATACGGAATACGAAATACGGAATACGGAGAGCGAACGGGAGAGAAAGCCAGGAGCAGAGAGAAAGCGGAAAGCAGCAGCTGTGAGCAATGAGTGAAAGTGAGCAGAAAAGCACACGTGTCTGCTGGCTTATTCTGCTCCTGGCAAGACAGGAGCCGCAACAACAGCAACTGGCAACTGGCAACCAGCAACACCAAAAACATCAGCAACATCCACTGGCCAACAGCAACAAGAAAATCGAAAGGAAAGCCAGAGCCAAAGCCAAAGCCAAAGCCAAAGCACGAACTGGCACAAAAGCCCCGAGAATCTTCTTCAATCTGTTATACGAAAAACACAACCCACGAAAAGGGCCTACCACCCACAGCCGACAACCCAGGAACCACCATTTACCATCTGCCACCCACCAAAAACACCACCCAACGACATCCTGCGGTGCGGCGGCTCGCAAAATAATAAGAAAAGGAAAACGCAAACGGAAAATTTGTTACAAGTGCGCCACTTACACGGCCTGGCACGGAAAAGCTGGCAGCACAATGCACACAAAGAGTTACGCACCAGATTGAAAAGAATAACAGCCAGTAAAAGGATAAGGGATGTGGGGAGAATTAAGTGAGAATCAACAGCAGCAGCCGTTGGCAGCAGAAGGGAAAATTCCCATTGCGATTTGTCTAATCCGAGTTTGAATTTTAAATTTTGTTTTGCTAGAGTGCAAATTAAGCTAACAAGGCCATAAATCGATTTCATAAAAATAGGTTATATTATATTATTAGAAGCAAGATATTGAGGTGTGTTTAAATAAAGTATTCCTTATTCATTTTCAAGCAAGGGATTGTCTAAAATGTAATAGAAAATGTTGATCGATACTAAACTTTAGCTGTTATTGTAAAACTAAAAGCAAATTAAATTATCATATCTTTATTTGTAAAGCAATTAGAAATAAAAAAATATGAAATATTTCTTTGAATTTAGTAAGTATTCTCCGAATTTGTATACAATAAATATTTGTTGGTTTATTCTGCAAATGAGACATTTACTTGTATTTAATTAATATATTTTAACCAAATCTAAGCAAATTTAAGTTTGTAGGGATGCTGATATTATTTTCGCTTTTGGTTATAATACACTGATGATTGATGAAGTTTCTTTGGGAATATATAGCTGACTGTTGCAATAGGTTTAACATTCTTCCGCCTTGGGTAATAACAAATAATTACAGGAGAACTTTAACTCAACTTTTAGCGGTAATAGTTTGCTTCCCCTCTTTAATAAAGGCCGTCCCTCCAGCCACTCGATAATGCTGCGGCACGTGTGGCACTCACGCGTCCCGTTCCGCCCATCAAGTTGAGGGCTCGATTTTTGCTTTCGCTTTTCCACAGACCACCCACCACCCACTGCCAACCAGCCATCGACCACCGCCCCCCGCTGTCACCTGAGCGAAATATATTTAAATAATTTATGATGCCGTCCCGCACAGCTGAGCGCCATATCTGAGTGCGTGTGTGTGGGTACGGATGTTTTTCCTTTTTTTTCCCGGGGTCACCGCAATTTGCGTGGGCGAGTCTGGCAAGTTTCGGCGGCCTTTTGAATTTCCCTGTATTTTGACTCCGACAATTCCGGTGCGTTGACACATGCCGCGCTTGGAATTTTAAGTCAGCGTAGTCAAAAAATGAAAGTGCAGAGACACAAAGGTAATTAAACTTTTAATTCCTGTAGGTACCTTTCTTTAGGCCAAGTAACCATACTTATTAACTTTGTTAAAGGTTTTTAATAAAATATAAAATATTTTAAAGATTTTTTAAAAGCATGCATGGTATACTTTGCATACCCACATTAAATATTCTGTTTTACTCGTATAATGGCAGTTTATTACCGCTTTCCTCACTGAAAATTTAAAGTTTACGAAAAACGTAATTTGTGTGCGACGCTGAAAAGGGGATAAAAACAAAAGCCAAAGCCAACAATACAGGACATTACACAAAGTGCAGTTTTGCGACAGCCAAGCCAGAACTAAGCCGAGCACAATGTAACCACCAGAACGAACCACTACCACTACCAGTCGTAGTCCTCGAAACCCAAAACCCAGAACCCAAAACCTAAACCCACTAACCCCCTCGATTCGCCGCTCAGTGTCATGCAATAAACCATAAAAATTAAGCACTCGAGCCAACAGAAAGTACCGAATGCATTACGAGTGCTCGAAATGTGCGGAGGAAATTTTTGAAAGGCAGCCCCGGTTAAGCCAGCTTCCTACCCATAAAATGACGGGAATAAAATGCATTTTGTCTGCCAGCCAAGCCAGGCCACAACAAAAAGTGTATATAAATATATATGTATAGTTGCAGAAAAGTAATAAAATCTCAAATGGATGTAGAACACCGAGCTGCAGCGTAAAAGTTTTTGGGGGCGCGGAGGCAGGAAGCTGGGCTAAAAAGCTTGGCAAACAACATTGGCAATGGGTAGTACTTTGTTTTGGATAAAGTTTAGCGCTGACGTCAGCCGCAGAGGATGCAACAATGGCGGCAAGGACGACCCAGAAAAGAGGGGAGATAGATGGACTGGGATGGTTAAGATGGTTGCGATGAAGTCACTGGCGGGAGGAAAAGGCAGCACTCACCCTCATCCCTGACATTTCCCATCAGGATGTCGTAGTCCTTCAGATCCGCCGTCTTCATCAGCGTCATGGGATCCGCCGGCAGGAAGGCTCCATCAATGGTGGGCGCCGAGGGGAAGCTGAGGATGCCCGAGTAGGAGTTCCACTGCTGCACCGATATGGTCTTCGCGTCCACCGAACGCATGCAGCTCATCACGTGAGCGGGATTGGTCTGGAATCGGTCGGAAAATAATTCTTTAGTAAAACGTTAAATACTTAAAATAGGTTTAATTATTAAAAGAAAGGTCTTTCATGGCTTTACATTTTTACAAATATTATTTTCCTTAAAACCATTTATCAGAACTTTTTCTAGGAATTTATCCTAATTGTTATATCATTCGTATTTTTCCGCCTGTTGTTTCTTCCCATCTTTAATTTTTATTACCCACTTTCCATTTGCACTCAGTAGGCAACTCACCTTCAGCATGGAGGCGTTGCAGTTACAGTCGTTGATCAGCGCCTTGCCAATCTCCACTGCCTTCTCGGAGGTCATGTGACTCCAGGGGGCGTTCATGGTGCCCGACTGCATCATGCCCCTCTTGACCAGCCCCCTGGTGACCGGCGACATGAGCTGCGCGTTCACCGAACTGGATCCCGCCGACTCCCCAAACAGGGTCATCCACTCCGGATTTCCGCCAAAGGCATGGGCGTTGTCCTTTAGCCAGCGAATGGCCAGGGCCTGATCCCAGAGGCCCACATTGCCGGGCGCCTCCTCCGCGAACTCCGACGGCATTTCCGGGGCCAGGTGCAGGAATCCAAAGGCACCGACGCGATACTGGAAGGAGGCCACTATCACATTGCCCACGGCGGCCATGATGTCGGCGTTGTAGATGTCCAGAGTGGCGGATCCGGTCATGAAGCCGCCGCCATAGATCCAGATCAGAATCGGCAGTCCGTTGGTCGTGTTCTGTGGATTGCCGTTATGGATAAGGTGGTCCGTGTCGGCCTGTTTGCCATTCGTGTGCTGCGAAAACAAACGGGAAGTGTTAAGTTCTTGTACTCAATCAAATGATAAGCCTTACAAGCTGTATCGTATTTATTAAGTATCAATTCAATATTTAAACATGCCATTTGCAATAATATTTTAATTTAATTAAACAAGAAATTCTATTATGATTTTAGTTTAAAATATTTTTATTTTATTTTATTTTTTTATTTACTTTAATTTGTTATTGCTCTGGTATATATTTTATTTAAAATATTTAATTAATTTATTAAATATTATTTATTTTAAATTATTTTCTTACCTCGGCTCCATTGGCTCCCCGTCCATGGCGAAGTCGTGCCTTTGCCGGCGCCCAGACGTTTATGTAGAGGCAGTCCTCGGACACATTGGTATTGGGGTTCCAGATCTCCTCGCCGGAGAAGCCCGGGAAGTACTCGTAACTGGGTTCCGGAAGGGAAAGGCACCGAAAAGAAACGAAAAGAGAAGAGAGTTCTTGATTAGCTGGTGACCCATATGCAAATCAAAGGCTGTTTGTCCCCCATCTGGAATTCGGTCATGCCAATTACGAAAAACTAACTGGCTATGTTATTTATTTTTATTCGCTCTCTCTTCCGTTTTTGCTCGCTTTGCCCATACACTTTCATTCAGTTTCATTTCATTTCCCCACAAAAACACTGGCTCACACACGCCCTGTAGTCCCAGTCCCCCATAGTCCCACAATTTGACATAGTTTTTCCGCTTTATAAATGTTGAATCGCTCGAATCGATATCCCTACGCATTCGTACAAAGCTCAGCATTTGTCTGTCCGTCTCTATAGATACCACTATACTTTTTCATATGTTGGAGAGCGTACGCTTAGGTGTGTTTGGCTTCGTGTCCATTAAAATTAACTTTGCCGTTTCGCATAAAAGTAATTTATCACAGACCGAGAGAAGAGGCGATTTCTGTTTCTGCCAGCAGCTGCCATTCGCCTTTATCACTATATTTTTCTAATTTCCTTTTGCCGCACACACTTTGATGGCTTTCCGTTTGGGGTGCGGAAAAACTTTGGTTCTCTATTTCAAGAGCAAAAGTGAAGCAAACCAAATGAGTTTGATTAAATAAATGGAACTGGAATGAGAAGCGTTTTTTCGTTCAATTTAAGAGGTTCTTATTTATTCTGCCATACGATTCTTATATTTAAATCAGAAAATTTCTTTAAATGGTCAATCCTATAAATAAAAAAATTCAACTTCAATAGTCGTATCTTGGCAAACAATATATTTTCCCCTTCCACAAACATTGAATGGCAAACAGAGGCCGATTGCAATTGGCAGTGCCAACATGCAGTGCAAAGTTTCGAATTGGCTTTTTCCGCTTTGGCCGGCTTTTTGCATGCCGCATGACGTCACTGGCAACAGTTAGGTCAACAGCGAGCTGCCGCTGCAGCCGGGCTGCGATTCGCAGGTTTCTAGGTCAAACGCCGAAGTGGAGCGTACCACGAAACCCCTTCTGAGCCCCAGCAATCCGCTAAGCCAGTGATGACAAATGGTTTTATTTCCGGAACCATATGACCCCCTTTTATTGGTCTTTGCGAAAATAGTTAAGTTTTCATCAGGATGAAAAAAAATTGTTTCGTAATCTTTTCTTGAAACTTTTCTATTGCCAAAATTTTTTTAGTACCACCTAAGATTTATTTAATTTGCTAAGCAAATTAATTTTTTTTAATATAAATATTTGTTGTAAAATTAAAATAAAATTTTAGGTTTTCAAGGTCTAAAGTATACTTTAAATTTAACGGGCGGTCGTAAAATAAAACTAATTTTTAAGTAATTGAAAATGATTAAAATGCGCGGATTAACGCGGACCTGCCACTCGAATGAAAAATAAAAGGAATTTTGGTATTCAAAAAGTATGCAGCAAAAAAAATTGTTTTGTTATCATGATATGATGTAGAATCAACCCGAGCTTATAAAACTGTAATATCCAAGGCTGGCCCTATCGCACCCCCTAAAATCTTCTAAATTTATCGTTTTATAGACTTACCGCTCTTGGACGCAGGTGGCGGACAGCCGGGTGGCGTCGAGGACGCCGTGCCAGGGCTCCGCCGGAACCGGCTTGCGGAAGCGCAGGTCCTCGAGCGGAGGCTTGGCGTAGGGTATGCCCGTGTAGACGTGGACCTCGCGGCCCTGCACCGTTACGGAGCGACCGCGGACGGGGCCGGAGGACGTCTGCACCACCAGGCGATCCATGACGCCGCAGACGCCGGACAGGTGCAGCGATAGCACCAGGACCAGGGGCAGCGGCAGGGGGAGGGGCAGGGAGATGGGCAGGAGGCTGCTCTGCCGTACGGAGGCCATGACGTGGATGCGCGACTGCTGGTGTCCTACTTTGGCGGCCTGACGTCACTGGCACTGACCACTTGTCTCTGGTTGCTGCTGCTGCTAAAGCTGCTGCTGCTGTTCGCGTTTCGCGATTTCTGCTCGCTGGGTATCTCGTTTCGGAACTGGTTTTTCTGGCGGATTCGGACTCGGGATGCCTGCCCGGCGCTGCAAGCCGCATCCACAACTTATTATCCGGTTGAGTTCGCCGCTGCTGCCGCAATTGCCACTTGAAGCTGCCTCCCGTGTGTTGCACTACACATTCTCCCGCCGCAGCAGCTTTGGGATCCGCAATCCGGCAACTGGCAATGGGAGCTCGGTACTAGGCACTCGTTTTTGATTTGATTTGGATATGGGCTTTGAGTTCGCTTCGGCTTCCTGCGCAGCTGTTGCACTTTTGCAGCGCCCGCTCCGGCTGCTCGGCTTTTCTGCTTTTCCGCTCCGGCTTTTCTTCTCCGGCTGCCCGGTTGTGTTTGAACTGCAAACAGAAAGAACAGCCATTAAACTATTTGTCCCGGCTTCCTGACAGGGTATTGTGCATTGTGGGTACAGAATGAAAAAAAGCCCATAGATTGAGTCAATTTTTGTCAAATTATTCCTTTAAATTTTAAATTTATTAAAAAATTAATGAAAAGAAAAATATATTCACTAATAAATGAAAGAAAAATAATAAGCATTGTTTAAAAAATATTCTTCATTGATAATAATTGTTTTAGGATTATGAATTATAATATAACATTTGTATTTAATGCATAATTTCTCTTAGTGTTCTGTCACCGCTCACACATACAAACACAAGGACGACCTGACTTGTTGGCTGTATGTGTCTGTGTTTGTGTCGTCTGCCCCCGTTTGTATGCTGCAATATTTATGTGTTTGCCTTTGGGTTAGTGTGTGTGTTTACCACTTGAGCAGAGATGCAAAGCTGCCTCCTTTCTTGGTCTCGGTTTGCATTCAAAACTTTCTGAGTGCCACCTGTTTCCGCCCACCACCCACTGGTAACCCACACACCTGCATTGGGCCCACTCATAGGATTCTAGGATTCCCTCGAGTGGCGCATATCGCTCTCTAAGGCTTTACCTGCAACGTCGTTAAACATATTTTCTTATATGCTTTCATTACAGTCACTTGACCGATTTAAGCAAATATCCTTTCAAACCGAAGCAGTCGAGAAAGACCAATGGAACCCCAAGGCGTTTTATGCCGATTCAAAATTTGTGGCCTTTGTGCAAGGGTAAAACTTAACTTTACAAAGAGCGGAGGGTTGGGATAACAAAATACTGGATTTCACAGAAAAACCAATGAAAGGCTTCTCTAAATAAGCTTTTAGGGTTTAAAATGTAAACCCAAGTATGAACTAATCAAATAAATTTTGATTTATTAGAAAAATCGTAGATTTATCGAAAAAATAATAGACTATACCACTTCAAAACTAAAATATATGAATTGTTTAAACTGTATTTCCTTTTTTTAATCTCTTTCATACATTACGATATAGAATTGAATTCAGTTTCCTGTTATCAGGCATTTATCGATAAATTAAACTTGGGAGGCTGCACTTTGACAAATAAAGCTAGTATTTTTTCGACTTTTTCAACATGTCCTTGACGTTTTCGAGCTGCAACAACTCCTGGCGTCGAATTAAGCCAAGAAACTTGGGCCTTGCATGCTGACAGACCATTAGACGGGGCTCGTGTAATAACACCGTTGCCACGCCCCCTGCAGTTGCAGCGCCCTCAGGCTCGGGGGTTCCTTGTTTTCAGCTTGTCTGCAAAAGGACAAAGGAACAAAGAGTCTTTCTCAGCTGGCGCCGCAGTAATTTAAATGTTATTTAGCCGCACAATTAAAATGGCATTAAGAAGCCACCGAAATGCGAGTTTCAGGTTGGCAATTTAATTCATTCTCCGTACCCCATTCTCCATCCTCAACAAACTGCACATTTTAGCTAAATTAGCTCAATTTTCCTCAGTTTCTTTGCATTTTCCTCGAGTTTCCCCAGCAAATCGCTGTCTTTTTGTCCCTTTTCCAAGGGTGTTTCAACATTGTTGCTGCCTGAAACTCGGCAGATAAGACGTAAGACCTAAGTGAATATTTTCTTAATTTCTTGCGGCTGCAGCAGTTTTTCCACCATCATTTTCCAAGTCACAGTTTTCACTACAACTTTTCCATAAACATGCGCATTTTTTATCCAGCATAAACGAGGGTTTATTTTGCAGAGGGGAAAGCGACCAGAAGTTGTATTTATCTTATTTTATTTTGCCTCTTCCAGGAACTGGCTGCTCACAATTTAAGCGCTTAGTTTCAGCTGACACGAGCAGTTTTTCTTGCCAACTCTGTGTGTTCATAAAGTTGCAACTTCAAAGTTGGCTCAAGCAGCCACTAAAATCCCAAGAAGTGTGTTTCAACTTTGAGAAGCAGTCTGAGTTTAACTCAAAGCAGCAGCAGAGAAAATTCCATATTTTATATGAGCTTAAATCATCATGACTGCATTTGTGACAAAAGGAAAGTGGAAATCACTTTCCAATTTCGCATAGCATCTTAATTTATTCACAGAGTGAAATAAACAACGGCTAAAAAACCTATGTTTAAAATATTTTAATTGAGATGTTCAGATTTTCTTGTGGCATAATATTTATTGTGTGGCATATTTTTTCTTGTTTTGATTTCACAGTATCTTTTTTTGTTTGCTTTTCCATGAAAATCCTTCGAATGCTGCCATGGATATGATAACCCAACGAGCGGGAAAGTGATAGCCTGAAAAAGTGTGTGCCAAATAGGGAGAGTTGCGAGCGCGAAAATTTTAATGACATTCAAATTAAATTATAATTTCAAAAGTTTCGGCGCGCAGAGGGCAGTCAGCGTTGCTGATGACGACGATGACAAGGACATGACCAGGTGGCACAGGTGAAAGGCACGGTCCACCCACGCCCCCTTTTTCAGCTCCGCCCTCCCCTCCCCTCACCATCGGGTCAGCTTTGTTGGCCAAAGGTCACAGCAACAGCAGAGGAAAAAAGGTTTGGCCCACCCCGCGATTTCCTTCCTGCTCCCAATCAACTTTCTCTATTTTCTCCACCTTTCCACCATTCCCTTTTCCCCCGCCCCACCATCGTTTGTTTATTTCCCTTGCGTTTGTTTTCAAAATTTGGCAAATGCTAAAAAACATGGCCAACGACAAAACGAACTGTAAAAGCCAAAGGGTAAACAACACAAAAGGAAGCGAAACAAAAACAAAAAATAAGAGACACCATAAATGGAGGGCCAAAAAAAATAATTCTGAAAAGCAGAGTGAGTAGAGGAAAAGTTAACTGCGTTATGTTTCTGTTTTCATTTTTTGTTTTCGCGTTTGTTTGGCGTTCATGCTGTTCTTCTTCTAATTTTTGTGAGTTTCTAGCAGCTGTATACTCAAAATAATAATTCCTAAATTTTTAAGCGAATCGTTTTAATTGTCAATATTAAACCAATTAAAAATAAAAATATTTAACCATTTTTGTTTTTTTAAGTTTTTTAATTTTAACAATTTTTGGAGAATAAGTTTTTTTCCCTTCAGTAACTATTTTTTTTATTTATCAATTCAAAGAGTTTTATTTTAAAGAGTTTATTTTTATTATTAAAATTTTTTTTTTTAGCTATAAAATGTGATGTGCCCCATTTTTGGCAGTGTATGCGGTTAGATGTGTCTGGTTTAATTGATGAGTTGAAGAGGGTAGTGGCGGACAGACAGACCGCCAGTCAGCGAAGCCTAATTGATACCCCCTGATATGAAAACCAAAAAGTGAGGGCAGGTGTCTATTATAGGCTGAATACCTAAAGGACTGTTGATAAAAACTGGTGTCGTTTTTTCTGAATAGAAGCTTAGGCGTTAAAAATACTCAGAATAAATATTTGAAAAGCGACAGAATTAAAGCCAAGCAAATGCGTATCTCGCTAAACAAATCTTATTCAATATTTTCCAGGCCGTTTCCCTGCATTCCCTTCCGGTCTATAAACCGCCACGCAATCATTAAACCCCGAAAAATATGGCCATCCGCTTTAATGAGGTACAATCATCATCAAGTTTTCACTGACCATTTGACCTTTTCATTTTGCAGGCGGCAGGACTCCGATCACAGGCCTTTAGTCCGGCCATTAGGCGAATGTCTGGCGCCAGGCAAACTATAAAATAAATGCTCGGGCGTGGCTCAGAGGCAGAGGAAACAAAAGAGCCAGAGCGTTCCCAGGAACTTTCGTTCATCTTACGAAAGGAACTGCTAAGAAATGGAAATTATTATTTTCATTTCGAAAAATAACATACTTAGCTTATAACGATTTGTTTCGAAGCTTAACACTTCCCCTAAAATATAAAGGTGAAATATAAGGAACGTATAATAATCAAATAGTCCCTAAAAGGGTTTACCTAATTGCTGATAAATTCGATTCTTGATGACACTTCTGAGTGACTTTCAGAAGTGTCGCCCAAGTCACTTCCTTAAGTCACTTCTGAGTGGCTTGCAGTAAAACCAAATCCCCTTCTATCTTCATTTCAACTTCCAGAAGTGAGTTGGAAGATAGTTATTTTTTCACACTTTTGTTGGTTTTTGTAAAATGTGTTCTATCGTCTTTCTGCCGTTCAGAAGTGCCTCAGAAGTTATTTCTTCGCGATCGAGACCCTTTATTATGGTCCAAAAGCGTGGCAAAAGTTTGTAGTTTTCAATATCTAAATTTGAACCTTAAACTTAAAATTCTATACTTAAAAAAAAATTATGAAGTGATTTCAACCAATAATACCTTCTCATTCACTGTGTGAATGTGGGAAAAACTATCCACTAAAAAACGTCGAAATTGCACAGCATGAGACGAAAAAACTAGGAACAAGAGAAGGCAGCCAGTAGCGGTTAGTATTTTATTGCACGGCGCCGCATGTGGCGGCTGCGGCGATTGAAGTGACCCCCGGGGGGGTGGGGGTGTGGCAGTGGGTGGTTGGTGGGGAGTGGGCGTGGGTGGCGCCGGCACTACGTCCGGTGCACGAGCTTGGCTTTAGTGGCTCTCGCCCGTCACCGGGGCTCGTTAACGCTGAGACGCTCAATTTAGCGCGACTTATTCAGGTTGGCGCTCCGCTTGCCTCCGCTTGCGCCCGTGTGACTGACCTTGATGATATCACCGCAGCCATGTCGTCGTGGCCATCGTCATCCCAGGCCGCAGTTCCCTCCCAGCTCCTATCGTCTTTCCACACGAAGAAAATACAAGGAAACTTTTCACTTCCGTTTTTCTCTCAATATTTTGGACACCATAAATGATAAATGTTTGGAAGAAATTATTATTTCAAATCCATATACATTTTCTTAAATATTTGACATAAGATATGAAAGAGGGAATGAAAAAGGGAAATCAGAATATTTTTATTAAATATCTGGGCTAATCAAGCTATTACAATAACTTTAGATTATGGATATTTGGTAGCTTTTTTCTCAGTGCAGACCAAGACATGTGCGAATCTCTCTC